TCGCTTGCTTAACTAGAGAAACAGAACTCTTGAAGGCTAATGCTGCACGAGATTCATTCCAATATATCTTGGAGCAAGAAAAGGGTGTCGATGCGGGTGTTATGCAAGTGCTGCTCTCTGCCCAATTCGAGATCATGTCTTCGCTTAATGACGTTATTGGTATGACTGAAGAGGATGCTGTGCAACATGGCAAGAAGACCATCTCAAAACTTTTAGAAACATGTTCTACAGCAGCTGCTTCAATAGTAAAGCCAGATGGGTCTATGAAGATTACGGAAAAATTCGCACCCACCAAACGAGGTACACCGAAACGCAACAAGCAGATCAATCTCTCTTTTGATGGAGAAGCTCAATCACCAATTAAAATGCCCTCTCTAACAGTGGCACCACAAATTCCATCTCCGATGAAATCCTCACCGAGGCGTCGTAAGATAGTAGTAGGTAAGAAAGGACTTTCTTTCACACCGAAGAAGACCTCCAAGCGAAGTGTCAGATGGCGAGACGATGACGATTCCGGAGCCTTGGCCGAGTTCGAGAAAACACCCCAGAAGTTTGAATCCACTCCGGATGTATCGTTGGTCGAAGAGACTATTACCCTACCACCCTTACCATCATACCTAGGCGAGGCTTCCACGGACCCCCTGGGCTCATCACCTGTTCCCACGGCTCCACTAACTTCCCTTGATATTAAGCCCAAGAACAATCGATTCCAAGCAGGATTCCTGTCCAAAAAGCCCCACTCGGCTTCGCCGCCTCCTCCAACAATTACAAATCTCTCCCCAACGTCTTCGGATACAGAACATTCTCCGTTGAGAATCCTCAAGAACGGTTTTAGTCCAAATCGATCCCCCCTTCGCGATGTAGATGAAGCTGCCGAGACGGCTGGAAATCATTCAGGCGACGAGACGGAGAATTATAAAGTGGGAAAATTGGATGGCGTTAAGATTGGTATGGCGCTTAAGAGACATGGTAGTCTTTCCAGATCGGGACATAATCATACGAATTCCGAGGGTAATCAAAGAATCAGAAGAGCAAGAAGCCCGACAGCGGCTCAGCTTGCAACAAGCCCGAATAGCGAAAATCAAATGTTTACGGCGAGTCATGCGAGACGGATGGTGAAGAGTGACAAGGGGGATGCATTGAGCAGTGTATTGAGTCCGAGAACGGCACCGGTAATTAAACATGGCCATAGCAGACGAGCAACGGATTCGGGCAGATCGGTGTCTGGAGGTCATGGGCATGGTCGTGAGGGTAGTGGAAGTTTAAGAGTTAATGCTGTTAATGGAGCTGGTGGTGGTAGTATGAACAAGGAGTCGAGAGGAAGGGAAAGTGTCATGAGTGTTATGGGGAAGGGTGGTTGGAGATGAGAGAATGAGGATTCCATGAATTATGTTAAGGTTAATGTGATGGTGCGATTTTCCTCTTGACAGTGCATCGGGGTTGGGTGGCGTTGGTTTGGTTTGGATTTAGAGGTCTAGTTGACTTCCTTCGTTTACTCAAAATCGTACATAGTCCAAAGACGCAAGGCATTGCGCGCGATTCCATCCTTGCATTGCTAGGGCGTTTGGTGTTGAGATATGAGGGATTGAAATGAATAGTTTCTTTGTATTGATCAGCTACAGAGTTTTGTAATTGGAATTGGGGTTGAGGACTGATTGGATTGAGATGAGATGAGGTTTAGGGGAAAGGAGTGGTGATGTTGAGGATATGGATTGGAGATCGGAGTAGAGATTGTAGAGATTAACAATGTGAATATGATTATGAAATTTATTCTTTTGGGGGGTTGGTGATGTAGTGTCGTGTGCTGTGCTTTGCTGTGATTTCTGTCGTTGTTTGATATGAGGTAATGTGATATGAGGTGATGTGATATGAGGTATTGTGATATGAGGTAATGTGATATGAGGTAATGTAATATGTTTTGATTTGCGTGAGGTTTAAGTGTGGTGTGATTGATATGTGTGAGTTTGTATTGCGGGAAATAGGGGATTTTATTTGCTTGGATTGGAGAATTGGAGACTTGGATTGGAGAATTGAAGATTTGAAGATTTGAAGATTTGAAGATTTGAAGATTTGAAGATTTGAAGATTTGAAGATTTGAAGATTTGAAGATTTGAAGATTTGAAGATTTAAAGATTTATATTTGGGTTGTGAGTGTGAGTATGAGTGTGAGTGTGAGTGTGAGTGTGAGTGTAAGGTATATAGGAATTTTGATCTATTATTTTATTTTTTGTGGGTCAGGGGGTGGGGGGGGTTGTTTAGAATGATAGATAAAAGGGGGGAGGGGGGTTAAGGAGGGGTGGTTGAGGAGGGGTGGTTGAGGGGGAGCAAGATGGGAAGGTAGAGATGTGGTGGGTGGATGAAGGGGTGTAGGTAGGAGGGGTGTAGGTAGGAGGGGTGGTTGAGGGAGAGGCAGAGGGAGATAGTTATGTTGGTAAATATAGTGGAAAGTAGAGAGTGGAGAGTATAAAGTTAGAGTTAAAGGAGAAAAGGTGAAGGGTGAAGGGTAAAGGGTTAAATCACAGGTTAAAGGGAGAGGTGTAAGTGGTGGATTGTGATGTGAGATGTGAGATGTGAGAAGTAGATTGTAAGTGGATGGATTGTATGTGATGGAGTGTAAAGGTTGAGGTATGAGGTATAAGGTGGAAAGATTGAAGTATAAGATATAAAAAGTAAAGGTTGAAGATTGAAATGTAAAGGGTAAAGGAGAAAGATGAAAAGGTAAAATTAAAGGTTTAATAATTAGATGTAATAATGAAGTATAAAAATTGAAGTGTAAAGATTGAAGGTTAAACTATAAAGATTGAATTATAAAGAATGAAGAGTGAGATATAAGTATATCGATTATAGAGATTAACATTTAACGATTGCCCTCATACCCGATTAAAATACCAAAGATTGAAAATAAGATTGAAAAATAAGACTTAAAAAATAAGCTTTAAAACATAAAGTTAACCACTACGCTTGCACCCTAAGATTCCCCCTCACGCTTCCCCCATAAGACTTAAACCATACACGCTTACACCCTCCGCTTCCCCATCCGCTTCACCACTAAAGCTTCCCCCTCCGCTTCCCCCATCCCGCTTCACCCTCCGCTTCACCCCTCCCGCTTCCCCACCCGCTTCCCCCCACCCGCTTCCCCTCTCCCGTCTCCGCTTGCGGTCTGCGCTGTCGATTCTCGAGCTTGCACTATCACGCTTCACTCCGTATACCGTTACCGTCTCGCGCTTGCCGTCTCAGTGTGCCGTGTCCCCCTTCCTTCAGCCGTGAGCTGTGTGGAGAGCAGTACTGTAGTGGTAGTAGTAGTAAGTATCGGCACTTGGATAGTAATGGACCTCAGGGAGACGCCCGTATCAGCGAAGAAATGGCAGTGGTGCATACCTCTTCTGTTTCCTTTTATTCTCACCTAAGACCGCGGACTGATTGAGTCTTTGGCAAACGTATGTATGTATGTTGTCTATCTATCATGTACGCTTATTGGCCCACGACTTGCCGTGGCTTTGGCCTCGTCGCTGGATTTATTCTCTTTTGGCTCGTGCTGCGGGGGCGCGAAGACTGATGGTGGGGGTTGTCCGCTGGTTTGAGGGTTGCGCGGGCTGGGGGGGATTTTTTCTGAGATGGTATATTGGGATGGATTACTATGAGTACCTTAGGTAGTAGGGAAGGGAGTTTGAGTGTGCTTAGGATTATTCGGTGATTGGGTGATTGGGTCGTTTGGTTGGCTTGGTAGTTTGATTGAGGGAAAATTAGGTGGGATGATTTGGGATTAAGTGAGTAAGCTGGTTATTTGTTAAAGAGTCATTTTTCTTGATTCAAAATTTAATCATATACTCGAATCATCAAGAGTCACACAATTGAAGTGGTGCTAGCAAAAGGGAAAAGGAGACATGCGGAATGCGACCTCTTGCCCCCGAGGAAGTTTCCGCACAGCTCCACTGCCGAGTTTCAGGCTCTGTGTGTATTATACACGCAATAGATTTGAGAGCGAAGGGTTGGAAAATGAGGGATGGGTGGATGGAGAAGAGGAAAGAGGGAAAAGAGAGTAGTGTTAAATCACGTGATTGTATGCACGCACAGAGATTCGGGGGCTTGGCTGGTGGACCCCTGAATAAGCGAGGGGGAGACAGGGAGGGAGGGGGTTATGTATGGAGAAATGCGCGAGGAAAGAGATTGATGGATGGGTTTAGGAGGGAAGTTTGAAGATCGTGGGGTGTGTGTGAAGTTTTGGAGGATGAGATGAATGGACGGCATGATGGATGGATGGATGGATGGATGGGGTGATACTTTAGACTACCTAAGTAAACTAGAAGACAAGATACTTCGAGCCAGAAAACATACAATCATTAAGTCACATAATAAACAGACAAATTTGAATTAATGTTAATTCTTTTTTAAAACTCGAGGCAAACTAAATATGTTCCTTGAAGATTCAATCACAAGAGTTACGAGTAACTCTTGGAAAGCAATCTAAAGGATGGCCCTCAATTCAAAAATATGTATCCAGCCAATGAGATAACAGTAAAACAAGATTGGGTTGTAAGGAAAATGTAGAAAAAAGAGTGTGTGAAGGGGAAGTGATAGTGGGAATTATTTGGATATGAAAATGGAAGGAAATATTTGTAAGGAAATAATGAAAATGCCCGGAGAATCTGGTATCTCTCCATCATATTAAATCCACCCATAATTGCAGCTAGAAAAAAAAGAAAGAAAAAAGAAAGAAAAAAGAAAGAAAAAAGAAAGAAAAAAGAAAGAAAAAAGAAAGAAAAAAGAAAGAAAGGACCAAGTAAAGTCTGCTACCAAGTACTGACCCCAAAGAATACAGTTGACGTGATGGGAATTCATAAACACAGCTCTGGAATAATAGTGATTCGGAACTTTGATCCAGTGTTGTTGTCTTGGCGTTTAATCCTGGAAGTAAACAAAAATGTCGCTTTTTTTGAGAATGCAGTATTTGGGCAGACCTATCAACCAGCGTAGCCATATTTTCTTCATCTCTTGCTGCTTTATCTTGGTTGAGGTACATTCAAGTACTTTTCGCAATGATATTCTAGACCACAATAAGTTTCCTTAGTTTTGCAGCCACATTGGCGCCTTGTAGGACATTTTACTCCATTAGAACTCTCCATGACTTGGAAACATTCTCCTCTCTTGGGAGTCTTTCTGAGCATGCCTCTATACCATTTGGGATTGTTTTGGTCGTTGTGGTTTTTTATATCACAGTAAAAATACCTTTTACCTGGCACAGTACTGTTTTCACAGCGATGTCGATTACTGTCTCGAGTATTGCACCTCAGACCCTCTCCAAGCGACATGGCAAATAGAAGATGGGCACGAAACTCTTCAGGTCCCTCAGACACAGAATCGCTTGCGGGATATTGATCCAGATATAGTCTTTGCATTTGAATCTTGTTCAGTTCCCATTGTCGACTTTCAATTTCCCATCGTTTATCTTTTATTACCCCCTGTGCTACTTCCGGTAAAGGAGGAAAACTCGGCCCTGCACCAGGATCCAAAGGAGCGTTGCTTTTAGATGGCATTTGATGATAACTTCCTCTAATATCGGAGGTTGTAACTATATTCTGACCCTCGATGCTTGTCGAACACATCTGTGACTGGATGTTAGATACGGTTGGCATTGGGTTAAATACTAATGAGCTTTCACCACCAGCGGGAGTAGTGCTATGATGTGATATGCTGCCACCATCTCTCTCCCTTGAATATCCGCTTTCCCATTGTCTAATCCTTCGCGGATGCCCGGGATCTTGGGAATTTCCTACAGGAGTTCGTCGTGGATATGCACTCGTCAGAGATGATGATTGCCAAATTTCATTCGGAGGCGTATTAGCACTATAAAGATCCCCTTCATCACAATTTCTGTTTGCATACTGAGTGTGCTGCCCATCAACAGATTGCGTGAATGGTTGTTCAACCACTTGTGTCGCATAGGCACGAGGAGCGATTTCGGTCTCTGGTATTGCGAAACCTCTGACATCGGGTGATCGTGGATGATATGAAGTTTGATATGATTCAAATTCTACCGGGTCTCCTTGTTGCCCGTATCTTGAAGTTTGAAATCCAGGTGAGCGAGTTCCAGTTAAATCGGGTGAAACTGTATGATGTTGAGGTTGTGGAGGTTTATATGACTCATACTCTACAGGATAACTTCTTTGTCCATAAGCTGGAGTTTGAAGACTCGGAGACCAATCTAGGCCTTCAGATGTGCCAATTGCTGTTGTACCTGGTGAAACTGGGACATACTCAGGTGTCCGTTGTCCGCTTGAAGGAGTTTTCGAGGCACGCCTTTTTCCCTTATTTCTCGATGCTCCATCATTGTATGATTGAGTTTCGGTTTTGGTTCTCCGATCTGCACGCTTTTGATCTGTAAAAGGTTGTGGCCTGATACTTGGTGATGATCTATTTGATGAATACTCCTGTGCTTTGAAAGAAGACGCTATATTGCCAACTGTTGTCCGGCCCCGAATTTTATTGTAACAAGCACCGCAAATCTTGCCCGTTGAACCATCATATTGTCCATCTCCCGGACACTGTTTACCATCAAGACGTTTTGCAGAACATCTCTTACGTGTATTAGTGCTCTCTTTTCCTTTGTGAGAAGACATGTCAGAAGGACGAATCTGTTGGCACCACTGACAAAATAGATACTCGAGTGATTTGAAATAGAGAGTGAGTAGGCCACAATAGTTTATGGAAGATACACGTCTTCACGTAACTTACGATGCGGAAACGACGGGATTGCTGATTGTAGGATATTATCGTGAGTAGGACTCAAATGTCGTATGAAAAAGAAGCGTAGAGTGTTCAGCAGAGCCAAGTGATGATCTTATCGAAAGGTCCGCAGCAATTCCGAGGTAGTCTTTATTGAGTTTGTAGAAGTACCTGTGCCACGACGCAGTAGCGAGGCAAGAATGCAGAGTGAAGAGCTCTTCTTGGTAAGTTTGATTATTCTGTAAGGTGCTCGTAAATTGTGCAAAGTGTTGCTCCTTTGAAATGGTGGTGTGAAGAAAAAAGAAAAGCGATGCAGAGGGGGGAACTGGAACTATTTAAGCACATTTAGGAGTTGGAAATCGAGTAGTATGAGTGTGATAAATGTGTCAATCGTGATTAATTTATGAATCATTTGCAATGAAAATGGCGATTTTTAGTCATTTCTAGAAAGAAGTGCGTCAGTGCAGGTGTGATTAAGTATGAATATGATGGATGAATGAATATCTTGGGAATTTGAACACTCATAAACCGCTTCAATGGTATGACTTTAAGAAGGTTAATGATTATGACTCCAAACCCCCCAAAATGTTGGCCGAACGGAACTAAAGAGATGTTCAATGACTGAAATAACATATTCATACCCCAAATCTTGAATTCAATCATTCATGTGATTTGCATATCCAAGTCGCATGATGATGATCCACTGAGTGATCAGTCAATCTTCGTTACCAAAAATTCAGAAATTCTCGTACAATTAGGAATCATAAGAGTAATGTAGATATGAATGAGGAAAATCGATTTTCAATCAAAATCAAGTCATGCTATCCATAAATAATCTCATGAACATGAATGTGAAGATACCATTTCCCTGTGCGGAGTTAAATGTGACAGAAGTATTCTGCAATGAAAACCATTGGTGAGACTTCATTAAAAGAACAATGATGCCTCGAGGTATGACTGCTCCACTTCAATTTGAAGGAGGGGTGGTCTCGAGTGTCACTAATGAAGCGGGATATTTACGAAGGTTCTCGGGGAGTCCGCAAATTCGGGTTATGAATCAAAGGAAGAGAATATCACTCTCCATCTATTGTTGGAAGTAGATGGTGATGTCTTCATGGAATACAGGAGCTGTTTGTTTTATTCGCGTTGGAACTTAGAAAATGAAATTTTATCAGTCCAAGTTTATGCTCTTTGCATGTGTACTGTAATGTTGGTTTGTAATTTTGAGTAGACTTTCACATGAGAACGATCGATCTGCTCACGATGACTTCTATCATGGCAGATATGTGTGAATGAAAAATCAAATGAGTATCTTGGAGTCACTGAGATGCACTGACAGTCGTTAATGACACAGTACACTAAAACCAGTGTGAATCCTGAGAGTATGGATTCAGTACAACTGAGGACGTGAATGAATCTTTTCCAGGCATTTCCTTCATAATGACAAATGCGAAGTATTGATCGATTTTGCCGATTCCATGGCTTTCGTGACTAAATAAGAAACACTGGATTTGAAAAGTCATGATACTGTTAGACTTTTGTCCCGAGTCAGATTCAGTTCAGCGCTCATCGCTTGAATATACACAGTCATTCGCACAAGGCTTGACACCATATCAATGCTCAAGTAGTACGTGGTCCTCTTACTTTCTTCAACTTCCCAGAATCTCAACACGATAATTCTCAAAGACGTTTTCTCAATAACCAACGCTTCTCACAATCCAAAAGAAAACACTTGCCTTCCGTTTCTTTCCCTTCATTTGATCCTCCAAAAAAAACACTAAAATATCATCTTGCGATCGATCTAGGTAGGATGACAGATTTTGAACCTCAACTATAACGAACAATGCTAACATTCTTATCAAAGCAACATGTCTAGCTCAGGTCTCAAACACTGCGAGCAAAAGAGAGACGGAGCTGAATGTGGCCAAGCGATCCCTCTATTACACACGATGTGCGCCGGATGTTTTCATCATGTAGTCGCTGCAGTCGATGAGCTGAGTCAATCCTTAGACAACAAACCTAAACCAAAGAAGCCTACAGGAACAGATAAAAAAGCAGCCCCAACGAGCCATAAACAGCAAATGCCCCGTGACACGAAAGAAACCTCGAAGACAGACCCCGGCCCTCAGAAATATCTTCGACCATCGGACCACAGAACAAAGACGGATAGAAGCAAGAGAAGTTCTAGAAAACAAACGTCTCAAAATTCACCTCAAACTCAAACTCCCAAAAAACATCATTCCCGCAAATCCAATCACATACAAGGAACTCAAGGTTAGTATACTTGTCGCCATATCCACCACACAATCCAGCGACCAGCCGACATTGAATTTTTCATGGCGACAGAAAATCGGACTTGTGGTTCCTGGATGCGCCGATGAGATTGACGACTTTCCTAATCGACATGAATCTCTGATGAATTCAAAAGCATGAGAGGGGATTGAGATTCCAAAACTGGGATGAAATTAATTTCCCTCTATTTCATTACACTTTTCTTCAACTCTTTATTTCGTTGTATTTTTTCTTGGGAATGTATGTAAGCAGTGACGGAAAAACTGATTAATGATGGAGCTTATCATGAATTCTGTAATTGATGGGCTCCAAGTTTCGGAGGCTTGTTTCTTGTTCGGGTTGTTCATTGTCGTTGAGGTTGGTGGTGTCGATGGAGGGATCAGACTTTCCCCTTCTCACCCAGGAGTCTTGACGAAGGGCTTAATATTTGGAAGGCAGCTTCCTTGATCTATTTTTGAATGTAGGGACTAGTTAATAAAAGCATTGGACTTTTTATATGCGCCTCCTCAATGAGTTCGTGAGCTGTCGAGGTATTGAGAAGATACTAAATTCGGAATTCAAAGTAGTCGAAGCAATGAGATGTGACTGAGAAACGATGTATGCGAGGTATGAATATTACATAACCAATTACACATGACTCTGCATTATTAGGACAGTGAATACATACTTTCTCAGTGAAACATCACACCATTCTCAACGTTGCATACCCATAACCTACAGTGAAGCATCACAAGCCATAGATTTAAGTAAAGTCAAAAGCCATTCCGAGTTCCATAATCATGATCTTCAGTAGAATAACAAGATTTTGAAGGCTTTGAAGTTGGTTGTTCTAAGAGGTAGGAGAAGTCAGGGAGAGGAGAGAAATGCAAAATCATGATAATTTGACCCCGGATCTGAGTTAGTAACCATTTCTTGAGCTGCCAAAGAACATCGATAATGGTCTGGATTCCTTTCTCGAAGGACTCTCAAAATTTGGCGATTTACTCCAGTAGTTGTCTCACATTCCGTCAGTCATTTGTCTTCCAATACTAATATTGACCAAGTGGTGTTCATTGTTAGGAGTCATGATTTGAGCCATTGAATCATTCCTCTCATTTTTTGCATCCATGGGAAATTTCTGCTATAACTAGTCATGAATATTTCAAGTAATGTCTTCTCCTTTGGCTCCATCCACACTTTAACACTCATAATGCGACAATGGTAAGCCTACATGTATGATTTGGACAGTCATTCACGAACTTTGGCAATTGGAAACACTCACTCCGTTAGAACGAGTGACTCGCACAATTTTGACATATACCCCTCTTGATTTCCCAAGGGTTTCCTGTTCTTGCTTCCTGCTACACTTACCTTTTCAAATAATCCATCCATCAATCCTAAGAAATTCCAGCATTTAATCTCAACATCATAGATATCAACCCACTGATAATGTCTTTAGGCCATTATCATCTCGGAAGCAGTGGCCGTAATGGCCAACTCGATAAATATGGTCGACCTCTACAGAAGAATTATGGCGGACATCAGTCTCGCGAGTCTAACTTTAGAAGTGGTGACATCCAAGGTCAATACAAAATCTCCCAGGTGTTGAATCGAGCTTGGCTCCAACGCAAAAATAAATAGCTCTGACATTTTCTTAGGAACATACAACCATGGCCCAGATAGGAATACCATGAATCTCCCTCCTTTGAACTTGTCTGATAGAATTGCTCCATCATCACGTCCGACAAATAACGACCATCTACCCTCAATCCGCGAGTTATTGAGACCACCTGCTCAACATCTATATTATCCAGCGCAGACCTTGGGCATTCCGTACCCACCACCGCCAGCTGAGTACAACGTTCCTGCAGCTCAATTGTATTCTGGAACGACTAGTCAGCCACAGCACTATCCAGCTTCCGAATTAAGAAGTCGTGAGGCTCCTCACCATCCGAGTGATACAGGACGCTCTCAAGAATCTGGCAGTCAAAAGTATTCCCTAAATACAAATCAACGATACGCTTTGAATCACGGAGGCAACAAGGGCACGGATTCCATGCAGCAATTTCCGGCTGTTATTCCGACTTCAATGCAGAGATCATTTCCTCCTTCGGGTAGGCCAGGAAGAGATATAGCTACTTCATCGTCTAGACGGGCAAGAACATATAAGCCTCGGAGAAAACAAGAGCCGAGAGAAAGATCGAAATCTTACAGCTCTGATGAATTCGCATTTATGCCGCCCCAACAGCCATCACAAGGCTATTCCGAAAGCCTTCGCTATCACGCAACTGTTAAAAGCCCACAGGTCGTCGTTGAAGACAACAGTCGTGCGACAGAAAAGATGCCAGCGGATTCTGACATGGAGTGTCTTCTGCCGACATGTAAGACGCGGATAAGTAAGGATGCCTCTTTTGGGGCATGTGAATCACATCGTGATCAATTATCAACTTGGGACTTCTCGTATTGCGAGGTAGAGATGGAACGTGCAAGCAAAGGAGAGGACTTTTTTCCTAATGGACAATGTCGACACCGAAAGCCTCTTCCTAAAAACCGCTGGTGCGAGCATCATAAATATAAATCTTATCGTTGGAGAGACGAATTTTTGGCTTCAGACTGTGGGAAAAATGGGAAGTGGTTTAAGGGTCGCCACACAGGTACTGCTCATTTTCCTTCTGACTATGGCTCATCGGGGGTGGGACCCTCCGTGCGGAAGGGACGAAAAAAGCTAATAAGATAAGCCAATCCTGCTTTTTCATATCAAGTTTTCATATCTTTTTTCATTTTCTCTGGAAACCTGGCTGTATTTTGGAGTGTAATTATTCGCAGTGCTACTGAAAGCGCAGCGGAAATCGCACAGCAGCACCTCCGGTTTGGGCGGGGGCTATTTTGAGTTGGATGTTCTTTTGTTATTCGATGCTTTTTGGGGTCAAACAGGTGGTTTTGATCGGTAGATTAGATATTGCTGATACATCATCGCGCGCAATTTGTATTTAGTCTCTACTGATATAATCTAATGACTGATTCTTTCTTCTGGATGACTGTCTGAATAAATGCTGTGCTGGATTTGATGCGCATTATGACGGAGATGTCTCAAAGTGAATGGTGTCTTGGATTGAGATTGATGAGTCAAGGATTTGTTCCTTGATGTTTTATTTTATAATATTGGGCATGGTGTAAATTCATTGAAGATTGATAGAAGTTTCACCATTCGATTGTTGAGGAAGTTCTCACATGACAGAAAGCTAATCACAAAATGTTCTCACAAAGGTGTAAAGATAGATAAACTTGTAGATTCAAGACTCGCGCCATGCACAAACTATTGAGATTCCACTATTTCATGGCTCTCGGTACGTTGTAATGGCATAGGCATTCTTGGTAACAATCGCCCGTCATGATAAAGCTTGCCTGTGCCCAGAAAGATGAACAACATAAAGACTAATGACGTATAGTAGTAGTCTGATTTGCAAAGCGACATTATGTAGAAGAAAGTCACGAAACAGGAAAAGGTCAAGATAATCTGGATGAATTTAAGTGTTAGTCTTCATATGCTTGTCATACCACACACGGAAGATGAACGTACCATTTGTGCACTGAGAAGAGCTAACTTGAATCTGTGTTCCAGCTGACGGTTCAAAGCCTTGACTTGAATTGAGAGATCAAGACGACGAGATCTATCTTGCATTTCATGCTTGAACCCCACTTCATTGATATTGAGGTCATGCTGCTTCTGCATGACTCTGATTTGCTCAGTTGCATCTCTGTAGTTGTAAAGTCAGAGATATTGCCACGCAGCGAATAGGAGACAAAGATGACGACTTACAGTTTCTTTCCATGACTGAGTGACTGGCTCTCATGTGTGCCCGATCTCCACTTGCGAAGCTCTTTTCTACCCATCCATTGTTCCTGAACCTCAAGTCAGCAAAGGAGCTATGCTGAGTAAGATCTCACACTGAATCGAAAAATTCCCCGCCCAGCATCTCGCAAAGTCTTCCCGGAAATTAATCTGGCGCTCGCCATGCGACAGTGCGACGGGAAGTCGTGAATCCCCAATGGTACCTCCATCCCCGGCGACCCGAAAGCCACACAGACCAGGAAATCAGCCACCACCTCGACCCATTACAGATCTGGTCTCCACACCAGGATAGACTTTTGCACACACAACATGATAGCTGAAAACACACAATCCGCCAAGGAGAAGCTTCCCCTGGCACCGTGTACGCAGGTTTAAGGTTCCGAGGAACCTATAGAAATATTGCTTATGTCCTCGGTGTATTGCTGCGAATTCGATTGGTGACTGTGATTCCACCTCACTTGAAACCATGTGTGACTGAGATAGGCCGGCAGACGGGAAGGATCGAGACAGTGTGTGAGGATAGAATCTTACCGGTAGTATATCAGGATCAATTCGATCATCATAATGCGAATCCTGTAAATATACATGTCAGCTGTGGTCCAAAGAGCGTTGAATGATTTAGAAATGGCGAATGGAAATTGGAAGGTTGACTTACTTGTCTTTGAAATGTGGAAGACATTTCAACCAGCGACTTGAATGGAAGAAATTATAAATGGAAGAAATATAGATACAAAAAGCTTCAAAATTTGCAAAGTTTGTGATTGTAAGAAAGATGGAGAGAACTGAACCGTACCGGCAAGAAGGAACACTTAAATAGGAAAAATTTAAAATGTGCGTGATCTTAGCGAGGTTCAAATTTTCAAGACTGCGCCATCTTTGAGTGAATATCAACAAGTTAAATGAGCATGCAATCTCGTGATCTTGTCTTTTTGTTGAGGTTGGGCAGTATTGATTTGTTTTCCTCGAAAGTGAATGTTGACTCAACGAATCTTCTGCTTGAGGAATTCATATATTGGGAGAGAGTCCAGAATCTTGCAGCTGCGTGCCTCTCCAAGAGAGCTGGACTGTTTATGTAGAGACTCCGATTTCCTCTGGGTCTTCATCTTGGTATGAGCCTTCTATCAGGATTTTCTGCAGTGTCTAAGGATAAGGTTGGTTTTGGTGCGCCTCGAAGAGGGCTACTATCTACATCAAAGATCTAGGAATGATTTGTATTCAATGGATAAAGCTATCAATCAAAACTATAGCATTAAAATACCTCGGCTTTGGATCCTTCTTTCTTACTTTGAGATGGTAGATTACAGGTGAATACTGAGCGTACGATGAAGCACGCGTTTGAGCGGCCAATAACTGGACTGTATTCAGTTCATAAGTGAATGATATGCCCTCTCTTAGTACCTAGGTAGTTTTTCTCATACTAGCATATCACCGAGGTTTGACTTCTTCTTCAGAGACCCATAATATCATCATTTCAAAGAAGCTGAATTGCAATTCACGATATGGATTCGTTTTGAGCCTAGAAAGATATCTTGTTGGAAAAGCTTGCTTAATCGTTCAACATCCTATCTTGTTTATTTACCGTCACCTCGACCTATTCCAAGTTTTGGGTAACGCAGAGTACTCATCCCATAACCATAGAATCGTATCCCAATCCATGAGTAGCCGGGAGGAATATCAGTCTTCCTTTTCATGTGAGCCATGCAACTTTCAAAACCTTTCCAAAGCCCTCATTAAGTATTTCACCTAACACAAAATACTAGTTGCGTGAACATCCAGAAGAGAATCAATCAATCCCAGAACCCGCGATCCAATCTCCAGGCTCGAGGGTCTTTTTGTGAGACCCTCTCACATGCTGGATGTGGGCACAAATGATCGAAGTAGATGAATTATTTGCTAATTAGCTATCGTTACATTATAAGATCTTAATTTTCTAGAATTTCAAACCCTCTTTCCCTACCACTTTTTCAGATCTATATAAATTCCTGTACATACCTAACTATCACTTGAAATGAATTGATTTGAAGATTTGATGTCAATGTGATGTGAATGCATTCTCCTTTCGAAAAATTCATAAGGGCAGTTGGAATGTATCTAATTTGTCGTCTGATATAAACGAGCGCATTATACCCGATTTCGGTTATTCAAACGAACATGGATATGGATCGCACTTCTAGTAATAAACTGTTTGATGTACCAATTGTAATGTGCAGAAGATCGAGTGTCCACACCAAGTCCACGGGTATGCTAGAGTGTCTCTTAACTACCTACATTCATCCATCAAGTTACCTGAGGTGCAGAACACTTAATTAATAGCAACACTTGATGAGATTTCAAGAACATCACAATAGAAAGAACGATGCAACTCGAAACAGAAGACGATGGAAAGTACCTATTCAGATCTTGACACATTGATCTTCAATATCTCTACAGGAACTCCTGTTTGATGGATATTCGTGATGCCTTATTAGTTCTGAATTATCTTCTCCATCATTTCTCAGTAAAGAACTGAGATTTTAAAATAATCGGCGCAAAAGTTTTACGAAGAATTCTTTCTGATCATGATCGTACGTAGGTATTCAGTAATACATCCACAACTGCCCCCAATACAAATGGATTACTTCAATCCAATTCAATCCAAACATCAACAGTATAATCTATAGCTCGTGATGACCATCATGCTTTAGCTACGATACAATACGATACGATACGAACCACCAAGACCGTATGTATACGACACCCCCAACACCCGAGTTTCAGTCTTTGTCTTTCAGGACTCTCGCTAAGTTGATGTAAATTTTGAAAGCGAGAATTCTGGAAATATATTAGGATGATGGCAGTACTACCTACTGTCACGAATTGACCGTCTGGAGTCTCTATCACCCGTACGTGGTCGTAAATTACGGTCCCTGAGACTAAGGTTCGCTTACCGCACATCAAGAGTCTTAACCGTACCCTCAACCGCACCTCGCCGACAAATGCGTACATAACCACTCAACCACCCATTTTCCAAATAATTCTCCATCTCAAAACCCTCATCGAGCTTTACCAAGAATACTCAAACCCCACCCCTCCACTCATCTCATCACACAACCAACCAACCCACCCGAAACACAAACTATCTTCAAAAAACCCTCTCATTAAAAACCATGTCCTCCTCAGCCACCCCATCCCGCACCACCATCGCCCTTCAAAACACCGCTTATCATCTCGTCGGCTGTAGCGCCTACATGGCACTCCTATACAAACCCCTCTCCTGCTGCATAAAACACACTCCACAATACCTTTTGCTCCTTGGACCCATCATTCTCTATCTCTTTATGCTAGCTCTTCATCAAAGCTATGTGGGATATACCGAGGTGATGCAGAACTTCAAGAGCGCTGCGGATATGGATATGGAAAAGTCGGGACAGAGATGCAAGCAGGAAAGTAATCACACGACTGGGAAATCGGGCAAATCGGGAAAATCAAAGAGGAAGAATCATCGTGGTGGAGGGAAGGCGAAGAAGGCGAAGAGCAAGCGAGAGGATACGTGCAATAGTACTGGAAGCTCGAATTCTGGAGAGAATTCTGGAGAGAATTAAGTGCACATTTCTGGTTGATTATGGTGATAGAGAATCATCTCTCGGACGACTGGGATGGAGATACATACTATGGTGTAGAGCTTTAAGCGACAGACAAGATAACTACAGTCTTTAGTTATATATGACTGACTCAGGTTTTGAGACGGGTGATGATGGGAAGAAATTGAATTGAGATGATATTCTTAGTCTTCTTAGTACATAACTTCCAATAATCTACTCCCTGTCAACTCAATTAATATTCTCTACAACATTACATCAGTATAGACAATAGTATACTATAATAAAATAAGAACATGTATAAAGCTCTTGATACAATAGCAAGTGCATATTAAACAGTTGAAAACTTACTATCATAGATATTATTCAAACGGATATTTATAAAGATATATAGAAAAACTGAAATATAATACTAAAAATCAAAAACAATTTTAATAAAATCTAAATAATAATAAAATACTATTATTCAATTATTTCTAAACCTTATCAAATAATTGAATTTATGAAAATAATACATAATATCAATATTCATATTCAAAAAGATCAAACTATTCAATAATATTCAATAATATTATTAGTTTATTATTAAAATCTGAGAATAACCTCAAATTCGCATATTTCGGTTTATTCTATATTAATCAGAGATCCGTATTCTCATATTTTATTAATAAACTAATAATATTATTGAATATCTTTAGTAATATTGAATTCCATATTATAGGTATATATATATATATTTCGAAAAAAAATCGATACCCACCACTATCTAACCTGTATACGGATTACGGGAAATACTATTGCCTATACTATATCTCATTCAATAATTACCTACTCAATCATTAAGATCTCATTATTCGCTTCACCTCTATGATATAACACCTCAATATAACACCTCAATACAACACCTCAATATAACACCTCAATATAACACCTCAATATAACATCTCAATATAACACCTCAATATAATACCTCAATATAACACCTCAATTAAATACCTACTTAATACCAACTTAATAAACTTTAATTCCCCCACCTACAAACCTTACACGAACAACCTTAGCGACATATTTTTGCGGCGGAAAATTTGAATTTGATTTAATCTGATACTAGCCAGAGTGGCATCTACTATCAACTGTTTATGTAAGTTACTGTTCAGCCATACCTATTACATGGATGATCACCATTTACGCTTTTCTTAGTGTTTAGTTTGGAAATTTTTAGATCTGAATGGGTGGTAATTTTATCAATGGGATAGATACCTATATTTTTACGCTGCCTTGCTATCACCCGCCTTTTCCATCCATTTTACTCATTAACATGTCATAATTTACTCTCTCGAGGCTCCAACCGTTTCCTATGGATGTCGTATACATTTTCCGTGATTCATTTCCATTTCCATTTCCATTTTCATTTTTATTTCAGCCCCCAATCCTTCCACCGAAACCAGATTCCACATTCACGAAGATCTCCAGATCGTGAGTATCCCTCACCCCTCAAATCTCCTTCTCTTTAATAAACCTTCTCTCTCAAGTAAAACTCGTTCCTCCTGTTCCCTGTCCCAAATTACTAACCGCAAGTCCATTACTCAATCTTCTTCCTCCTCCAGGTCCCACACTTCCTCCTATCATTCCAATCGGACTACTCATATTTTCCTCCATTCTATCAATCTTACTCACGCTCGATTGTCTTCGTTTACTTATAGCTTTAGAAAGTGGTGCACCATCGACAACATCTAGTGCTTCTTCGTTAGGATCTCTTCTAATCCTCTCATCACCACCTAGAATTGCGGTTTCCTCATCATCAGGTGTGAGGAGTGGTTCTTCTTCGCTTTCATCATCGCTTGTACCACTCTTGCTAAATCCTTCCATTTCTTCTAAATACCAAATTGGAATTGCGCCAATCGCTGCGATTGTTCCAAGCAAGAAGTAAGGAGTAATAATATAACCTTCTTTCAATCCCCAAGTGAAAGCAGCTCCAGACATGGCTGGTCCAATTGCTCTTCCGACTGCAGAAATAGATACTGCAAAGCCATTCAATGTACCCAAGATACGAAGACTAACTGCCGAATTTGTGAGAAGAATAACACAACAAGGAAAAGCGAAGATAACCGCAAAAGATTTAACAATCAAGATTGCGAAAATGATGATTTGTTGCCAAGTTGATGATTCGATGAGTGCTGTGTATGGAGTAACAAAACAAATAATGGGGAAAGTTACAGCGCAAACTTTGAAGCAATTCAATACACCGAATTTACGAGCTGCGGGTGGGAAAATGACGAATTGAATGAAGCCACCCACGACACCATAGAGGGTAAAGATTGTACCGATTCTGCCCGAATGAAGACCGAAACCACCGGAGAATCTGAATGGGAGTTGAGTGTTTGATGGATCGTGGATTTGACGAGGATGATGCATGAAAACTGAAAGGATTTGATCATAAGAGACGGAATGAAGGGCGAGAAATGTATAGGCAATGAGATTAATGACTGATTGACGTGTGAATACCTCTCGAAGACTTGGGCGGGTAACTGGAGCTTTCGATTTGGAAGATTCAAAGTTATCACCAAAAGATTCAGCGGTATCTGACCCAGAAGATGTAGGTCTGAGAAGTGATGCTGATGATTCATCATAGGCTGGATGCCCAGGAGTGTGGTGTCTTGGTCGAGGTTTACAACAGAGCACTTTAGAAGAAGTAACTAATTTCTTTCCTACTTCTACTCCCCAGTCTTTCTTATTACGTTTGGATTCTAGAGTTTCCTGGCACTCGTTAGTGGGAATGTGAGGAATTGATTGTTGAAACATACCCTGAGGAAGAAAAATCCAGTCGTGATTCCAATCATGAATAGGAAACTGGCGATGATATTTGGTAATGCAAAAGGAAAATTGAGGAAAAATCTATTATTTCCGAAAAGTCCTGGAAAGTTTTGTGCTGGTCTAGCAAAGAATCCTCCGAAAGATGGACCAAATATAGAACCAAGACTCCATACTAATGGCATGATGGAAAATGCTCTTGGTTGTAACTCTTTTTCAGGAACCATTTCGGCTACCATTGTTCGGATAATTCCAACTATTTGATATTAGCTCATACGAATTCTAATCCGAGAGAAAGAACAAACCATTCCCGTTAAATGCTCCTTGAAGTGCTCTAGCGATGATAGCCATAGGTAAAGTTACTGACATGCCCCATATGATATTTAATATCATTGTACATGTTAATCCCACCAAGATTGTAGGTTTACGACCAAATGTATCGGAAGCCCTTCCCCACATGATAGCTGTCATGCACTGAGCTAATGAGAAAACAGCAGATGCTATACCTGCCCATTTTGCTACATCTTTTTGTTCCACTCCAAAACTCTCAATCATTTCAGGCTAGTCATGAGGTTAGTCACATGATTTTTCGGTGGATTTCCTCGAAACTCACTAGATATGGAAAGACTGAAGTCAAGGCGACTGGTTCTGCGAATCTACATATTGCTGATCAAATTAGTATGAGGATTTGACCTATGAATGGATTTTTGAATCCAAAATCGCCAATTGAGCTGTCGACCGAACGGACTACACTATAATAGTAGTTGTATAGACGGAGTGATACATCCGACTGAGCTTGGTCTGAAGAATCACAGTCGAACAGAAACTCCATCACATCCGCAAAATCTATTCCAATCACATTCGCAGGGAGGAGAAACAGTGAACATGCAGAGAGAGATATTCAATTGATTCTTCTCCAGAAGGATGTAACTAGGTAAAGGATATGCATGATCTTCGTCAAGAGATGAAGTTTTGGGTGACAATGTTACATTGTATGGCGGGGTATTTTGCATTTGCATTAACCGGCCTCCCGAGATCAAGCATGACCATGATTTTCATCATTACAACGAAGAAACTATCAACGATTTGAAGATCTGCTGGACATATGTAAACACAACGAGACAAATTGGAAACTCACCAAGAATTGTAAGCTGGGCCACGGGCAATTTTGCTGGACCGGGACTCTTTCTCTTGGCCATGTCGTTGGCGGTAAAGAAAACTTTCTCAGCCTCCTCGGATCTACGGTCTTTTTTCCGCCGCAAGCATAGAAACCACAAGATATAAGATCGTGGAATGATTTTTGATTGAGTGATATTGGATTCAAACTGTACAAGAGTGTAGTAGATGGCTAAGAAAACGACCGTTTCAATACATGATGTTGAGAATATAAGAAGAGAGCAGCAAGAGCAAGCTGAAGAGACTACCTAGTAGGTAAATAAGTGATGATTTGTCAGAGAAGTCATGCTTTGAGCAAAGAAAAAAAGAGTCAAATCAGGTAGAAGTGGTGGGTGGGGCAGATGAGATATCAATGCTGCAGTCACTCGTGATGCCGCTTTTCCGATTTCCGATTAGTCTGCGTACTAAATCCCCGTCTTTTATGGATTTAATACGGTTTTAATACGATTTACCATGTTGAAATAACCCAATGCGGACAAGTAAATTGAAATGGAGAAAATGTGTGGATGTTAATTGGTCAATTGAGCAAATGATGAAGAATTGATTCATTTGATTGGAGAAGAAGGTTCCAGGGATTCTACGCCGATTATCGCTTCAATCACGTGCGTATGCTTTCTTTTCTCTTTACCTCCATCATGGTTGTTTGTCCCACATGTGGTTGGGACGATAGATTGATGGTGTTACTGTCGCACCACCTGGGCACGTAGATATAATTGCTTTGTCAGCCCTTGTCAACGCGATATGGCGTCCATCACTTGAATCAGACTGCAGGTGATCCATGCAAATATGGATATACTACTAAGGTATGTGAATGATGGAGAGAGAGTATATTTACCGTATTTTCACTTGAAACACTTGAATAAAAGTGTATTTCTTTATTATTTCTCTATGATTTCTTTATTGCTTCTTAGTCATCTTCATTGTTATTGGAAAGAGAAGTGTGAAATATTTATATACAACTTCACTCCAAACAATCTCGAATCCCACTCTTTGTGTACTACTCCGTAGATATCATTCCTTTCTTCTCTCCTCTCTCTCCTCTCCCCTCCGATACCATCTGATAGGTTGATCTTCGGATGTACGTTTCTCCGCTTTTTATGTCTTATCAGTTCCGCCTCCAGTCAAAGCAATCGTCGTCGTTATCGTACATATCAGGAAGCTCTCCTTTAGCCTATGGGAAGTGAATACCATCTGGGTACTAGCTCATGGATCCCACCTCCCTCTCCGCACAACTTTTACTCCGTGGATGATATAATTGCCCGAGAACTGGGTGCACCTTCAAATAACGCAATAGGTACTTACTTTCTCGTCACAACCACCTTCACATCTGAGAAATGTTTTGATTGATGATTTCTTTCCTCACTCTTGACACCACCACTCTCACCTCTCACTAACCGTCATCATGGGTAGAATCCTAGATGAAAAGAAGATGGAGAATAATGAACGTACTCCATTGATCGCCACGGTCATCGTTGGCCAACCTCGACAAAGATATCAACATAATACCATTCGTCGATTCTTCACCATCGCAGCAACTTGTTGTTTGATTGTCGCCGTCGTCCTCTTCCTCCTCCCTTTGTCTTTCTTTCCTCGACACCACAGACATTGGCATCACGATAAACATCACGGAGAATCGTCTGCCATCACTTACGAAGAACTTCAACAAATATTTCTCGATACGCCAAAGGCTGAAAAGGCAAGAGAATGGAGTAAATATTATACATCCGGTCCACATGTAGCTGGTACAAATTTAAGTCAGGTCACTTGGACTCAAGAAAGATGGCAGGAATTTGGCATTGAATCGGAAGTCGTCGCATATGATGTTTATCTCAATTATCCGCGTGGTCATCGACTTGCCTTGTACGAAAAGACAAAGAATAAGGATTCCAAGGTCGAGGAATTAAAGATCAAATTCGAAGCTAGCTTGGAAGAAGATATTCTGGAAGAGGACGAGACTACTGGTTTGGATACCAGAATCCCAACCTTCCACGGATACTCTGCATACGGAAATGTCACCGCACCATACGTCTACGTCAATTATGGTACATACGCAGATTTTGAAGATCTGGTAAAACTCAATGTTAGTCTCGAAGGCAAGATTGCTATTGCGAGATATGGTGGCATCTTCCGTGGGCTCAAGATTAAACGCGCACAAGAACTGGGAATGGTTGGAACTATTCTTTTCAGCGATCCTGGTGATGATGGATCAAATACGGAGGAAAATGGAGCTATTGCATACCCAAATGGACCAGCCAGAAATCCAAGTAGTGTTCAAAGAGGAAGTGCTCAATTCCTTAGTATTGCACCTGGAGATCCGTAAGTCATCATCCCCTCAAAATTATGTAACAAAGGACTAATGATCTATAGAACCACTATTGGATATCCTTCGAAACCTGGAGTTCCACGTCAACCTGTCGATGGAAAAATTCCTTCAATTCCTTCCCTTCCAATTTCTTACGTCGATGCTATACCTATCCTCAAATCTCTCAATGGTATCGGACCCGCACCAAAAGATTTAAATAAATGGTGGGATCGAAACCTTGGCTTGGCGTACAAAGGAGTAGAATACAACATTGGTCCCTCACCAGATAATCTCGTTCTCAACCTTGTCAACGATGTTGAATATGTCACAACACCCATCTGGAATTTGATTGGTGTTATCAATGGAACATTGTCAGATGAAGTTATTGTCATCGGAAATCATCATGATGCATGGATTGTTGGTGGTGCAGGTGATCCAAACAGTGGTTCTGCAGCTCTCAATGAAGTTGTTCGAAGTTTTGGTGTTGCTGTTTCGAAAGGATGGAAACCATTACGTACCATTGTATTTGCCAGTTGGGATGGTGAAGAATATGGTTTAGTTGGTTCAACAGAATGGGTTGAAGAATATCTACCTTGGCTCAACAATGCTAATGTTGCCTACATCAATTGTGATGTTGGTACTAGTGGACCTAAATTTTCGGCATCGGCAAGTCCTCTTCACAATAAAGCTTTGGGTGAAATCTTGAGCTTAGTTCAATCACCCAATCAAACAATTCCAGGACAAACTGTCGGCGACCTTTGGAATGGACTCATTAGTACCATGGGAAGTGGTAGTGACTTTACAGCTTTTCAAGATTATGCTGGTATTCCATCGATTGATCTTGGATTTGGACCAGATGTCAATCATGAAGGTGGTGAAAAGGCTGTCTTTCATTATCATTCCAATTATGATTCATTCTATTGGATGGATACCTATGGAGATCCAGGATTCCATTACCATGAAGCAATGTCCAAAATTTGGGCTCTTTACACGGCTAAAATGGCCGAAACACCGGTTATTTCCTTCAATGCTACTGATTACGCCAATGCATTACAGGGTTATATCAGCAAAACCGAAGCCAAATTGGACTCCATCATGATTGGATCTTCTACTGAAGAACAAGATGAAGAAGCTCGTTTCCGTCCTTCCAGTATCGAAACCAAGGGTGACATCAACACCCTTAAACTTTCCTTCAAAGGTCTTCACAATCTTGCTACCGCATTGAAAGATGCAGCAATTCGTCACGATTCTACCGCCGCCATTCTCGCTGAACAAGCAGGTCAAGATATTCCATGGTGGAAAATTGTATCCAAGGTCAAACTTTACAATCAAATTCGAAGTGTCAATGAAAAATACAAGTATCTCGAGAGAAAATTCTTATATCAAGAAGGTTTAGATGGTAGATCATGGTTTAAACATGTTGTATTTGCACCCGGATTGTGGACTGGTTATGCGGGTGCAGTTTTTCCAGGTTTGGTAGAAAGTATTGATTCGGAGGATTATGAGAATGCGGAGAAATGGATTGGAATTATTGGAGAGTGTTTGGAGAACGCGGCGGAGTGGTTGGCTTGAGATGGGAATTTTGGATCAAGTGGGTTGGAATAGTTACAGCGACTTGATTAGAGAGTTGATGATAATGATGGGTGGGTAAAGATACATGGATACATGCACGATGGTTCAGTGGAGGATATACAAAACAGTATAGAGACCAGACGTAGATAGATATACACAGAGAGGTAGAGTCGAGAAGTTGCTTTGTTTCATTCTTTTCTTTTCTATACACTCGTTTTTGGGTAATAGATATTGAATGAATGGGAAAAGTAGAGGGACTAGGCTAGCTAGCTAGGTAGTCATGAATAAATGAATGAAAACTTTATCTGAAATGAATCTTTTTTTCGTTCTTTTTTTTTTCTTCCTCATTCATTCATTCATTTGAATGTAATGCTGATAAAATCTAAGCATATTATGTTATTTCACGTTATGTTATGTTATATTATATTATATTATGCTACTTATCTAGTAAGTACTAAGTACTTGGTAGTTAGTAGGTGAGTAGTTAGTAGGTGAGTAGTTAGTAGGTGAGTAGTTATGTAGTAGGTAGTTAGTAGGTAGTTAGGTAGTAGTTAGGTAGTAGGTAGTTAGGTAGTAGGTAGGTAGGTATATAGTAGGTAGGGTGAGTACTATTAGGTGAGTACTAGATAGTTATCTAGGTTTCGTACTAAGTAATAAGTAAGTCCAATAACACCATATCTCAACTCACCGCAGATTTTAAATAAAGGATTAAATAAAGATTTAAATAAAGATTTTAAATAAAGATTTTTAAATAAAGATTTTAAATAAGATTTGAAATAAAGATTTTAAAAAGATTTTAAATAAAGATTTAAATAAAGATTTTAAATAAAGGATTTTTAAATAAAGTTTTAAATAAGATTTTTAAATAAAGATTTTAAATAAGAGTTTAACAAAGATTTTAAACAAAGATTTTAAATAAGATGAGGGGTAACCTTATTGGGAAATAATAGGGAATGAAGAAGGAGAAGGGGAAAGATAAGGATAAGGAGAAGGAGAAGGAGAAGGAGAAGGAGAAGGAGAAGGAGAAGGAGAAGGAGAAGGAGAAGGAGAAGGAGAAGGAGAAGGAGAAGGAGAAGGAGAAGGAGAAGGAGAAGGAGAAGGAGAGATGGTTTGATGGCTCTGTGTGTGGGGGAATGGGGGGGGGGGTTAAAAGGTAGGTGTGATACGATGTGATGTGATACGACGTGATGTGATACGATGTGATGTGATACGACGTGATGTGATATGATGTGGCGGTATGGTCATTGGGTTTTGGGTTTTGGGCTTTGGGTTTTGGGCTTTGGGTTTTGGGTTTCGGGTTTTGGGTTTTGGGCTGCTGGACCTTGAGGTATGGTATGGGGGGAGGGGGGGAGGGTGGAATGGGGAATGTGGAATGGTGTGTTGCACGACTGTGGTGGTTTGTTGCACAACTATGGTGGTGTGTTGCACAACTATGGTGGTGTGTTGCACAACTATGGTGGTGTGTTGCACAACTATGGTGGTGTGGTGTAGTGAATGGAGAGTGGTGTGTCGCACAAGATAAAAATAAAGATTAGGAGGTAGATGGTGGATGGTGGATGGTGGATGAGTAGGGATTAATAGGGATGAATCGAGATGAATAGAGATGAATAGGGATGATGTGATACTGCATGTATGTACATAGTATATGTAGCTAGGTACCTAAGTATTGAGGGGTATTGAGAGGTGGTATAGTATAAATACCTACTAGGTAGGTATCTATATATTCATGGATTTAGATAAGTATGATTTGAGAGGCTTTCTTGGGGGGGCGGAGGGGGGGAGAGGGAGATGGAGGATGGATGGAGGGTTGAAGGGTTGAGTGGATGGAGAGATGAAGGGATAGAGGGACAGAGAGAAGGAGGGAAGAGGGAGAAAGTAGAAAGAATGGAGAGATGGAGGAATAAAGTAAAAAGAGAATGGGATCTGGAATAGGATTTGGAATGAGATTTTAAATGGGATGGGGCAAGATTGAGAGATTGAGAGATGAAGTTAGATATATTAAGTGAGTAGGTGGTAAGATGGATAGAGAGATGAATAGAGAGATGGATAGAGAGATGGATAGGCAGAATCGAGAATGAATGAGTAGATGTATCCAGAGCTACGAAATGAGGTGGAATTGTTGGGTTGATATAATTTACATATACATATAACATTTAGAAAAATAAGGAATTATTAAAAATTGAAAATAATTGAATAGTGATTAAGAAGTGATTATCTCGCGGGCTAGAAATATAGATATTCGAAATAGATATGGAGATGTAGAAATTATACTTCTATTGTATTTGAAGGGCATGTCCGAATGTCAGATGAGCCTAAAAGCAAAATCTTCGAGCGCAGCGAGCTATGGGGGTTTGGGGGCTTGCCCCCATAAATTGAATATTATAACTACGTCATCTCGAAGCGTATCGGTAATGTATAATTTTGCGAATCGGATTATGTACTTCTAATGGAATGTAAATGTAGTGGGACTGGATGGGTATGGATGGAGATAGATATGGATGTGATATTTCTGAAGCCTTTCTTTCCTCTTCGCTTGTTCTTGTCGTTGTGTAGTTGGTTCACAAAATAGAGAAATGGGCGGAGGAACTTGTATGGAGATGCGTGTGTGTGTGGTATATACACAAGAGATGGATAGATTAGCTTGGGTTGAAAATGATCGTGAATTCTGTGTTGAATTCTTTTTGGCTATTGGGTTTGGAGAATGGAATGCAGGATGTATGATATGTTTGGGCTGGGTGTAAATGGAGGTGATGGATTTGGGTTTTTTGGAGTGGTAGATGTACAGATATCTAGCAGAACATTGGCGTGTTTTGATGAATTGAAATGTTGTTTGATATTGTATAGGTTAGTTGGTGAGAAAAATAATGGTGAAATTATAAGAAAAAGGTATGAGAAAGGGAGGGGTTGGAAGTATATAAAGTTGAGGTTTAGATTCAGGTCATCATTAATGAGTGTTTAAAGTCGAAAAAATAATCTTGGTTTCTGTTTTATTTTTGATGTGTCAGTGAAAAGGAGTTCGGCTCTTGACCAATAGATGTGGAGGAAACTTGACACAGAGAATATTTTCGCTTCGAAGAGACATACTGTTAAGAGTGGAAAACTAACAAAATTTACAAAAAAACATCATTGTCTATCATCCACATAATCACAAACAAAAGGCTTTTTAAATAGTATCTTTCTTTCATATCAATAGATGGACCAGCCAATCTTTCATCTAATACACCTAAGGGTTATCCACAAAGGCCCTCCCTATTAACAATCCCATTCCATCACAATCATCCATAACCCAGAATATATGCATCCAGACTCCCATATTCAATGATTCATTTCCCAAGATCCCAAAACCCCAAAACAACAACTCTCTAAGCCTCAACTCCCATCCTGCAGCCTCCAATTTCCTCTTCGTATCAACTTCACCTTCAATTCCCATCATAAATATACATGCACTCCAACAAATCCGCCTGTATAGCTCTCAACGTAAGGAGTAATTGCTTGTACCTTCTATTATTGTAAAAACATTAGTAATCATTCTACCCAATCTATCCCAGATCCCCATCCCCCTCAAAAAAGAAACAACAAACTCACCCACGAATTCTCGTTCTCCCATAAAAATGACATCGCGTAACCAAAGTTTTCAAGCGCAATGCTTCCTCAATTCGCGCAACGACATCGTCGAGCGCAGTGCGCAGGATACCCAAGATCGAGTCGTTACCAAGAGCATCGCGGTAGTGGACTACGAGCTCGTAGAGTTCGCGGTAGTGGGATTCGAAATCGATAAATATTTCGGGGGGGACGACGTTGTGGGAGGGTGTGTAGCGGGGCATTTTGTTGTTTTTTGGTTTTGGGAGGTGAGGTGAGGTGAGGTGAGGTGAGGTGAGATGATGGAGGATGGGTGTGGGTATGGGTGTGATGGCTTGGGAGGGGATTTCTGCGCGCGTGTGTGTGGTTGATGGCGATGGCGATGGCGATGGCGATTTCTAGCTTTCCGTAGAATTGTTGATGCGTGGATATTGCAAGTGAAAGCTCTATGCTGGATGATTTAATTTTGAATTGACAGATTGTATATCAAATAAGAATTAATCGCAAAGCCGACAGGTATGGAAGATGAAGAAATGATGCGCTTTTGATTCCCAAAAGATTTTGTAAGTTTCGTCAAATGGAAAATACCATAGCAAAATGCTAGACGAATGAGGAGTGGTAATCTAGAATGATGGGACGTCTGGATTGAATTGAATATTAAGGGTGGCGTGAGATTGAATTGAATTGAATTGTGCGGGGTGAGCGTATGCGAAGTTTTGTTTGGGGAGGGATTTTAGACGAATCGCGGTTGGGGATTTGGGAATTTGTACGGAGAGTTAGAGATCTGGGATTGTGGAGATGGAAGAATTTAGATGAGTTGAGTGGTTTTAATGTATGTGGAAAGATGGATAAAGTTTTTAACTCCACAGGATAGTTGGTGTGTAAAAACTTGAGCAACTCAGGTTAAAGTCATATTGATGCGACTTTCGGTAGGCAATGAGGTGAATCGAAGCACCGAAAATATTGTATTCTTCACTAGATGGCCTGGGTAGACTCATAAACTATGGAATCCGGTATCTAGATAAGTAGACGGAGAACATATTGTACACTGATGAGGACTATACGTTTCAATGAGTGAATCTGGAATTTTGTATAGGTGAAATTCCCTTACTTGGAAGATCTTTCTCTAGAGAGAGACTTGGGCTATGAAGTATGGTGGTATTAGGAATCGAAGACCACTGGTATAATATCTAGTCACATTCTATGTACCAAGATCTTTATTACAGATAAAATCTATTGATTATTGAATTCAGATGAAAGAAGACTCGAGGAGGAGAGGAAGAAGATGAAGAAATTGAAGAAGGCTGGACGACAAAGAAGGATCTAGCCGAGTCGAAGAGGCCCAAATATCAAATGAATGGCACTGGAAAGGCTGTTTAAGATCATTCTCGAAAGCTCAAAGGACTGAAAGAGAATCTGGATAGGTGTAAGACTATATCAGTAATTTTCAGAATGGAAAGAAACCTCGAAGAAGCCACGGCATTCAAGTCCACAAACCTATATTGTTTTTGTTTACCCCGGCCGTATAGATCTTCGGTATGTATACCGATACGATGAGAGTTGTAGCACTTGTACGTGTCAAGCAGCAAGATAGCTATCAATCTTACTAGTCCAAGATTACTAGCCGTATATTTGGTTTCCTCTCAACAGAAACCGTACCATTGTCAAATGATACGATATATAAGAATGGAAAGGCCACTCAAGCTGTTCAGATTTTCTTTAATCATATAACTTTCAACACACTCCCACATCATCTGAAACTCAAAACCAAAGATATTGATTTCGATATCTAGCCAATCAACCATAACAACAAAAGTAATTCATCACACACAAAATTGAGCCATCTACTTGATAGAGTAAATTGGTAAAAATGCCTGATTTAGAGGAATCCTATTCTTCTATCATCCCCCCAGAAACAACGGAATTAGCGTCGGGACTCTACACAATCACAAATACACCATGGATTTCCCAAAACACCCGATCTGATCCCATAGACTCTTCCAAGTAAGTTACTCTAGACTCGTCACCTTAACCAAACTGACGAACTCTAGAATCGATTACAATGATCTAACCAGCGTTACCATTGGACCTTCCACTAGTCCCATCCGTGTCACCTGGCCTCTTGCAGTCTTCTGCATGAACTCTCTCTTTTTCCGAAGCATCTTCATGCCAGAAACACCCACAGTACCAGATACCACACCTTCTTACATTCGTGCTCTCCGCCTGGAACACCAACGCACAAATAATATCCCATTTCCATGCACCACACCTGCCGAGACCGACGCTTTTTCCATCTTCGTATCATGGAACACAACCAACGAGTTAAAGTCTTCAACAAAGTTTGTTGGAATCACTAGTGTTAACGTTAACGAGCGCATTCGGCAGTACAGTAAGCTTTGGGATCAGATGATTGAATGTTACAAGCTCTCACAATTCCTGATCGCGCCTAAATTCGCCAACAAGATTATCGACACAATGATCTGCGCTTTGAGAGAAGAATGCGGATGGCAAACTCATCGAAGACAACTAGAAGATGAAGACGATGAGAGTATTCTCGCGACTCCCGGAACCGCAGAATATGACGCATTAATTGATCGCCTATCTCAACTCACAACCGAAGGAAACGATAACTTGTTCAATCAAACACAATCGTCAACCACCCCGCCAATAGTAGATCAGAACGACACTCCGAATCGAAAAACCAAACTCCTTCCCCCTGATGCGAGAAATATTCTAGGTGGATCACCTGCGCAAATCTCCCATTTGTATGCATCTACAAACCCTGACTCTCAGCTGCGAAAAATGCTCGTTCAGATGATCATCAACTATTCTGTCCGCTATCCCAAATACTATGCTCAGCCTTCTAGCTTCAGCACTCTGATTACAGGCACGGGGTCCGGTACAAAGGGAGAGCTTTCGGTCCCGATGGAATTCATGATTGATTTATTGAGTGCTTATGCAAAGCTAGGAAAAGAAGCGAGAGATAGAGGATGGAAAGAGCGGGGTTCGGGATGTGTGTATCATGAGCATAAAGATCATGTTGAGGAGATGAATTGTCAAGTGCAGAGTGCGAGGGAGAGGAGTAATGCGGAGGGAGGTGGGGATGTGACGATTTCATCGGCGGTGGGATATTCGATGGGTTGAGGAGGTTGGGACGGCTTTGAGGGTGGTGTGATGGTTGCGGTTGTTGGAGAGTATGGATGAAGTTGGTAGGGTGGAGAAGTCTTGAGGGTCTGTGAGATAGTTACATTTCGTGTAGTCTTCATTACTCAATGAAAGTCTACTAGGTGTCTCTAAACCCATTTCTGATTCCAAACACTTGTTCGAAAGTTTTGAATGTAATATCCCATTGTGATCCCAAGAATTATCATTGGCGCTTGTCGAAAGGGCATTTAACAGCATTTGATACCTTTCAAAAGCTCATAAAAGCATCATACTTGATCTCCTTGTTGCCCAGAAGTTATTATTCTCTCAAAAGGAACGAAATCCATTTTTCACCCCTTGTCATACTTGCAATTGAAAAAGCCTCATTCATTCCAACAAAGTCTACACAAGCATTAGTGAATAGAAATATGTAAAATATAGTTTCATCTCACTGAATCTAGTACACAGATAATGAATGAATGCTCTTCACCACGAATTCCGCTAAACAATTCATAGTGATGGTGATAATTTTTCCGTTCGTGGAGTCACCTAGGGTGCCTCTACCGCAGTCGCGGATATTCCATCACGATGACTTCATCTTATGAGGCTGCTGGAAGGTACTAGGCAAGAACTACAAATTGCTGGGGTAGAAATGACGAGAGTGGATGAATAAAATTTATTTACAAGCGTGAATTTTGTAAGAAAATCTAAATTTAGAGGATAAATTGTTGTACTGGCAACTTCCGATACTTCGCATCCAGATGAGATGGGGTTCTTTACTTCCATGACTAGACGAAAGGGTTCATTTGGGCCATAGAACAAGTCCGGGACTGTAAATTCTTTGATGGATCATTTCACTTCGATTTATTGATATGAATTCTCATTTATTGAAAGGGTGCAAAAACAGAATACAAAAAATTGAAGTGATTTTGTTCGCCCAGGAATATGCTAGGAAAACCTATGAAAGGTAACAAACCAAACTTCAAGGTAAGAAAGTTAATCTACATTCGACTAATTATATTCAAGCTACTTATTCATTAGCTGGGGACAAAGCATAGTGTTCATTTGTACATGACTCGTGATAGGATATAAAACTTTCGGAGTCAATCTGGACTAGTCTAAGGATTTGAGACACCATCAAGCCCTTTGTTGTATTGTGTTCGAGTGGTCTCACTTGCTTTATAGCATATTTGAATAGAATATTTGTATCATGATATCATCTAGCATACAAAATGTGATAGCTGAATGATTAAGATGCTCCCTATGCTCCTGATTGTATCTCTACCTGGCACTCACAAATCTAAAAGTACTAGATTAGGCTCCCAAATAATTTCCAAATGCCTACCCCCCAAACAAGATATTCTTTCACCAAAATTCTCTCGAGAAGTCTAGCCCTTTACTCCTCATCTCGACAATCCTTCCCCATAGCATGAATATGATATCTACATCTCTCATGTTCCCAAACCATTGACGCCTTCTCCCATTCCTTAAACTCAATAGCAACGCTTTCCGAATCGACCTTCACTTCGTCTCTTCCAAACTTCATTGCTTTGAGAAAACGAGAACGGAGCGTAGGTCGAGGTGGGAGGGGCATTGGCGAGAGAAAAGGATGTTGGTTTCGAATATTGTAGTGATTGGCGAAGGGATTGTGGGGAATATGATGTAGAGAAGGTGCGCGGTGAGAGATTGGAAGGTGGTGATTGCCAGCATGAAATGGACCTCCTTGAGGAATCGGATGGAATATTGGAATGTTATGAGGATGAGTTGGCGGTGGATGAGGGTGAAAGTGTGGGGCAGCTGCGATTCCAGTGGATAATGAAGGTGCAGCGTTGTGCATATGGTGGACAGTTGGTGGCGGGGGATGCGCATTCAGAGTAGTTGGCAGAAAATTAGAAGTAAACAGTGGATGACCAGGTTGAAAGTTTGGATGCGGAGCCGTTCCATCGTTTGGAAATTGAATATTCTGGCCATGAGGCAGAAATAAAGGATTCAGCACTAAGGGATTATGAATTCCGCGTCTGGTTCTACGAAAAGAAGGGGGTGCTCTGGGACGTCGGTTAATGGTAACGGAAACTCGTCTCTCTTCAACAGAAGGAAATAGTATGTCCTTGATTAGAGCTCGTAGCGGTGATGATTCGACTGTGTTGTTATTCACCAGCTTTCGAGTCTCCTCTGTCTTGTTGAAAAGTGGATCTTTCGCCGACTTGACAAATCCATCGCGCACCCATTCTCTATAGGCCAAGGTTAATGCATCCATCATATAATTGGCGAATTTCGATGCTCCGATATAATCGGCGAGAAAATAACAACGAAGTAACTGGAACCATTTATACTTATGGGCTTGTGTTCGAAAGTGAGTATTACTACGGGTGGTATTCTTTCCCAGACATTTAGCATTTCTAATATCCTTAGTGTAGAGCCATGCAAGGAACATTTCGAAACTTTCAGGTTGATAATCTTCGAGTGAGATGATACTTTCACGACCACATTTCCATAGACCAGAACAAAGAGGTTTGAAATATTCGGCTTGCGTGGCCAATAATCCAGCAATTGCTGTGAATTGGACTCGTTGTTTTCCAGTTCCTACGTTAATGGAGACGATCTTGTTAAAGTTTTTCTGGTCATCACTACACCCGCGATTAGAAACTTATCACTTTCTCTATCAATTTGAGGAACTTACATGTCATAGCCTCCGCTGAGGGGCGCCAGAGCGCTCTTGGTAGTTTTCGGCTTGTCAGGTGCTTGATATGTTGCAGCTAGAATTCTGGAAATTCTGAGTACATTTACACGAGAAAGACCACGATGCCCAGATCTTCGAATATAAGCCTCTAGTATTTCACTCATTCCAGCTAGAATTGTGTCGTCTGTGTCTGAAATTATCGCGTCAAGCTGCGACATTTCATTGGCAGGATGAGGCCAAGGTATAATACCGATATTTTGATTCGGAACCAGATTTATCCCCAGTCCATTGGCGGCCATTTTTATGATAGATGAGAACTTAGATTTATGCTTTGGTGAACCGGTGCGGAAGTACAAGAATTTCGTTAGGAATATTGTTCTTGAGCTGAGAATATGAGTGAGAAATTCTTGAGATTTGTGGCTTTCTCCAAATTAAGGTAGTTCTAAATAAATGGAATCAAATGGATAATCGAGAGACCTAAATAGATATTCTTCAGAGCTACGGTCGAAGAAAAAGCCAATGATTCAATAGATTCTATCACAGTACAGCTAAACTTTGGAAGATTCGAGCGACCGTATTTGGTGTTCAGGTAGGTGTACGTTCGAAACGTCTGAACAAGCACTGGAAACATAGCCCGCTCTTCAATTCTAGATTTATCTGCTCAATTCTTAGACTTTTGTTTGCTCGAGATCCTTCATTCTTTCAATCGCGCTAATGAGATCCCTAGAACATGAGACTCGCCATATGACCTAATGCCAGGAATTTATTTTCTATCTAGACTCCACGTTTAGACTCCCATACTCTCAGGGCCAGGCCTGAGACTAGCTTTAGTTCCATTAAATTTAGGAGCTATTGAATGATTGCCTGTATCTTTGTTTGGAAATTTCTGATCTTTGAGATTAATGAATTGATGATACCACTTATTGAATATGATACGCTCAGTTGGACGTAAATTTCAAGAGGTAAACAGACTTAGAGATTCTATCATTGGTTTAGCTTGAATGCTGATATGATAGTCTTACTTGACATTTGACACAGTCATCTCTTGTGTCCATTTATTCATGTGTCATAAGCGCAGCAGGAACATGAAATATGATTGTAGACACATGATGTTTCTATAGTAATGATTCTTTGTTCCTTTGTTCCATGCTTGCTCTATATCAAAGTTGCCATAGACAGTCAGATGATATTACAACTAAAGCTCCTAGCATATAAGCTCATTACAAATAGACTTTAGTGAGCAGTCCCACCTCCCATTAATCCATCACTCTCATACCGATAACCCAGATCTTTCATGAATTGCCATTATTAATCAATGTGATTGGCTATCGAATCATAGTCAAGCTAGCTGAAGTAAGAGTGATCAAAGATCTTAGATCCATGAGAATCTAGTTCACTCGAAAATTCCTGTTGATAACAGCAGGAAATAAACTATAAAAATTGCTTTTCATTCCATCTGTTCATGTTCATATTACATTTAGTAGTGATTCATATCATCCTGATAAACTTTCACGTTGATTGATCGTATCATCTACAATTGGCTCTTGTCAGCAAAGTTAACTTACATCTGATACCCACCTAGGTAGGTAGTTGAGGTTTCAAAATTGAGTTACTTTCATCTGTTTTTAATTTTAGGTGGATTTATTTGTTAAGAGCAAAAGTGCTTCATGTTAACTTTGAAGTATCGCTCACCAGTCATAATAATTACACTTTTAAGAAAGTCAAGGAATTTGATCGTCCTAGTTACTCCTATACTACTGGTTGATCTTAACTTTTGTAACCGATTTATTTCGCATATGATAAATATCCTTTCGTTTAATGATTCAACCTTGCATTTAGTGTGACACAACTGTGAAGCCTTTAAAGTACTCAAGTTTTGTAAAAGTTCAAAAGCTTGTATCTTTGAATTTGAAACCAATCAGGCCCCCAATCCCTCTCACATGACCTATTCCAATCAAATATCTTTATCTCTGCATCCGCACGTTTCACGATCCAGAATCGGATTCGGGCTTGGGGCACCTCTCTCCGACTCTATGAATGTGATAGTAGCACCTTCGTAAAGCTCGACAATCTGCGCTTAGACGTTTAGAGTCGGTGCCTTGGCTAATTTGATGGACTATAGTGAAGCTACGCATCATTTCATTCATCAAATCTTGGTGAAATTCTACTGGCATACCCTCCTTGAGCAAGCCATTCAGCTTTTCGTAGTAAGGATGATGATCCGTACTCTGTTTCATGATTTTATCCACAAGCATCTTCTGGAGCAGCGAATCTGCTTTGGTCATGGAGTAAACTCGTCGGATCTGGTGGGGCAAAGTACCAAGCATTTGTCTAATCTCTTGTCGAGGCAGATTCTTGTCAAAGGGGTCTCGATGTTCACCTGCTTCCCATCGACGTTCAACATCGCCACGATGATCTTCCTCATCATCACTTTCATCTTCGTCATTATCAGAATGATCGTGATCATCTTCGGAGTTGTCGACTTCCAAATGTGGCGCGGAGACTTCGAACTTTGATTCCAGTTTTTCTCGATCTTTCGTTTCATTATCGATAGCTTCGAGTAACGCATCCATGGTGGCATTACCAAAGGCCGGGGCACCCAGGAAATCTGCCAAAAAGTAGCATTCCAAAAGCCGATCCCAAAAATTGACGTATTCATCAAGCTTCTCTGCCGTTATTACCGCCGTATTGGGGTCTACAGTGACAGGAGAAAGTGACTCCGAGGAAAGAATGTCGCCAGTTGTGTTCCAGACGAAAAAAGCTTCCAATGCTCCGATGTCTTGTTCGCAGAGATTGATAACGAGAGGTTCGCTCTTGGCATGCTGTACTAATGAATCAATTTCGATTTTTACGCGGAAATATTCTGAATGCAACGCCAAGACTTTGGATGCAAATTGGAGTCTCAATTCCTCTTCATCCTTACCTACAATCACTTCGACTGTATCATTGAAGTTATGACTGAGCCTGCTGTTAGACAAGATTTATGATGAAAAGTCTGAGTATTGCAATTTTATAACTCACAGATATAGAACTATGACTTCATTCATGATGTCCTTTACCATTGCCGGTGATGCGGTAGGATAGCGTAAGTCCGACATTTCTGCAAACTTCCCGTACTTCGAATGACTGATTGTGTATGTAATCAGTAGTCACAAGGAGTTAAATGAGACTTAAATACACATGTGAAGGTGCTGAGTAAAGATTTTTAATAACAAGAGGGTGGAAGTCGATTAAGTCGTAGGGTTCGAGCAGTACAGTACGGCTCGGTTCGCTTTGGATTCTATTTGTATTTAGGCCCCAAACATTTTATCAGGTTATTGGCTAATAAGTTGATGCATTCTCTTTACGTACCAATGCTAGCTCTATGATTGAAAGTCTGGTGAATGATCAATGTTGAGTAGAAGTCAATATTGGACATACATTCTTATATAAATCATCACCCTAACACTGTCACTACACTTGTAAAGATTCATTTAATACAGCTGCATTCTCTGTTTAGTTCAAAACATGCATTCAAGGGTCAAGGATCAGTAAAGATCTAGCGCATTTTCTTGTTTTCTGACTGCTTACATTAACAAGTCTTCTTTCAGCTCAGTACCTAGCTACCTCAAACTTAAACTACAACGAACTTGATATTCTTTTCCTGCAATCTTTTCATGAAGACAATCCCACAGGCAAGCTCTTACCTTATATACACTACACTACTCGAGCACTAAAGAGTTGGACACTTCAACCAAGTTGATACCAACAGAAGGACGCAACACTGTCCAGATATAATCATGACCTCTAAGGTTACACTTAATCTGTGAGGCCCGGATAATTGTTTCGAAGAGATCTCAAGAACTGACTTTCGAACAGGAAGGCATTTTGCAAAGTATTTACGATAGTTATTGGTCGAAATATGCCAGACCGAACAACTATGGTTAAGGTTTCAGTTCCTCTTCTAGCAGCGCAATCATTCTATTTCAAGACTGCATCTTCGCAGCCATGGATTGGTGGAGAAAGCACCATAGAATTTCCAGACGTGTCATGTTCAACATTCGAAATTTTCATGGTGTGGCTGAACACAGGTCATATCAAAAATGCGGGCACCCTTCGTCACAATGTTGGCCCAGACCACTGGCCACGAAAACCACTGACAGAACAGCTCTCCGAAGATTGGGATCAACTCATTAGTTGTTATCTGATGGCCGACTACATACAGGCGCCAAGATACACGAACCATATAATGAATGCTCTTATTGAAACATTGAAAAAGTTCGAATGGGTTCCGGTGGATGACGATTTCCCTCTTGAACCCTTGTGTAATTCGTGTATCAAAACCGTCAATATCGTCTGGACCGAGACTGTTGCTACGTCACCTCTCAGGAATCTAATTTTAGACACTCTCGGTTTAACAAATCACGCTCCTCAAAATATGACGGAGACACTGTTTCTTGCTTCCCCAGCACCAGAGACATTAGGCGACAGTCTGACGGTGCCAGAAGATTTTCTCAAATCGTTACAGCTTCATACTCAAGTTCAATCCCCGTGGGGGGCGCCTAAGAGTGCCTACCACATTGAGGAAAAGCTTCCGCGGCCAAATTAAAATGAGCCTGGTAAGAACTTTGCCTCATCCCTGAAGAGTGCGAGAGAGTGCTAACGTCTAGATCACAGGAAGTATCTTGGTAGTTCTGATTCTTTGGACGTTAAGAGTCCACGAGTAGACTACCGGCTCAAGACGGTTTCATCAGCCGAAGCAATCGACGCTCGGTGATTGAACTTCTAGCTCGACTCAATCGAATACATGGCTAATGTGCTGATTGACGCTGGAATGTCTGCTGGTAGGGATCATTACACTATCGAAAAGATCCAAAAGTCGAAGCAATAATGTTTTGGATACTAGTAAATAAACAATATAACTTTCTTTAAATGATATGAGGATGTCTGAACTTAGTGTTGGTGTCTTTAGTTAAGTGGTACGAAGGGGATGATTAGCTAGTGAGGATCGCGTTCAAGAATCTGTACGAATGAAGGATGAGGTTCCAAACTTTGTGTACTGGTGATGCCTCTGATACTCCCCGATGTGTAGTTGTGATCTTGAAATTCGAAGGTATTTCCATCAATTACATTTTTAGCAGTAGAAAAATACCATTGTTCAAATCTGTAAACCATTTAATTCCTGCTTATTCAAATGGTTTATTGGGCTGAATTTGCAGTGAATTCACGTGAAGTCCTCTCCTCGTTCCCATTAAAACTATGTATCTCCCCGAGTTAACAAGCATTCCAGAAATCATCTAATCAACTATGAATTCGCCGATATTTTTGGATGCCGACGTGTGCTCAAGTCCTTCTCGGGATTCTATCATCTGGCAAATAGAATGCCGTCAGTATATCGATCATGTGATCATCAGAGGGTACTGTATTAGCTGTTGAGGCTCTAGCGCTTGTATAAGTACTAACTTCCTAGAATTAAATCATGACCAATAAGGAATGCAATCATGATAGAGTAGATTAGGTATTTTACACTTGTCAATTAACTTGATACCAACAGATAAAGAAGACACTTGTTCTGTGGAGATATTCTGGGTTTCCAATTTTCAATCAGCTTGGCCTGCATTTCTCGGTCTGCATTACCTCTAGATGAGAACAATGTTGACGTTGGGGATTCTAATGAAAATTGTTTTCATTTTCCCGTCGGAAGTATAACCGGCATTTCTGGCATTCCGTGCAGTTCATATCATTTAGGACTGCATGCATTTGGATCTAGATCCGTCTAGAAGTTAAGGATAATGAGCGACGACTATACCCATTCAGTTATATAAAAGAGAAAACAAATCTGAGTTATTATTAATATCCACGAGAAATTGACTGGAGCTGCTTATTAGTCTTCTTGTGTGGAGAATTATCAAAGATGATGGTTTTGACCTTGTGTATCAATGGCAATGGTAAAAAAACACCTGCTTCGCTGCCATGGGTACCCAATGCTCCTGAGATCATCTCTTGCAGCAATTCGAGTAGCAAACTGAGGCTCTTTAACAAATCCCAACAGAAATCTATAAGGACCTTCAATTTGATCTCGGTGTCTTCTTCATTGGGCCTTGGATGAGCATGAACATTCTTGTGGTCCGCGTTGCTGCTATGTTCCAAATACACAAGCTAGTCAACTGCTATACGGCGCAGTGGCGATTATGTGGATGTCTGGTTCCATTCACAATTTATCGTCTTTATTCTCTCTTCTAATGTGAAAAGAGTGCCTGGAAATGGTCCACCTCAAGCCTTCGAGAACTCTTTGTATCATTCTAATCGCTTGAGTATGCTTGCCATGATAGCATTGGTGAACACTGGCGATCTCAGAAGTTCCACGAGCAGATATCCATCAAGAAGTTTGTTCCATATCTGAATTTGAACATTGGTCTCCAATTCCTCACCCCAGTGTCCGTTTTATGGCTTGCAAAGTTCGATTCCTTGACTGGGTTCACCTATGTAGAGCCAAGATACCAACATCACAAACTTCTCTGGCGCCCCTATCTTCAGAAATATCTTATTTGTCCCATCAGGTTGCCATTCACAATTGTTTGCGTCTTCGAAGAACGGCGAGTACTGTGCTAGCATTTCGGCGGGAGTGACGATTGTGATCACGGTGTTGCTGAATGTAACTTCAAACATTTTGTTGTGTTTTACTAGAGAATAATCAGCCAATTAAACAAAATCTCTAGTAAATGGCTGCTCCAAGACATACTTTGAGACTACTAGTCAAGTTTTCCGCCATGTTTCACAAGTAATGATCGAAAATATTTGGAGAACCCCAAGTTCTTAAAGCAGGAATATATGCAAAGGGGTCGCTAAAGTCTCCCCAATGTTCAGTTATTTTTTTCAAATCTATGGTTTGAGTCGGAGAAGGTAACTTTCTCTATAACATGTGGAATAAGAAAAAAATTATGCAAAGTAGCCTGGATATTTCGTTCTCGCTTAGTCTATCAGTAATGCTTCAACAATATGATGCTCATGAGAATAGCAGGCAGTGAAACTTGTCAGATATTTGGTCAAGTAAAAATCTCCATCAATCTGAGATTCAATCTGTTGCATAGAATCTTCACGGATTCATCGATGTTTTCATTATGAGGTCATAGATTATCACCAAACCTAGCCCATATTTACACATCGTTGTATGGCTCGTCTATGGTGTCGAATGAATCTCACAAATCAATGACAAAGTAATTGACTTTGATTATCATGTGATTCAGGTACTAGGGGCTACTAGTGAGTCTAGTTGTTTACTAAATCAAAGTTAACTTTATTAGTGTTCGCCCTGTCGTAACTGGCGCGCTAAGCTCAGGAGTGTTCGAATTCTAGATATCTACTACAAATTCCAGTAATGGTAGGTAAGGTGTACCTACAACTGACTTTATAAAATTATGGAAGAAAAGATGCAACGTGATATCCATGATTAGGCAAATTTTGAAAGCAAACGCCTTTGTTTTGTGATGTTTGAGTTTGATCGGCACTGAAAAGCGTTAAACGTCAAGACAAATAAGGTTTGCCTTGCATTTTGATCGATTGGTCACTTGGCACAATGATCTACGGTAGCTCCCCCATTCACACAATTTAAAGCCTGAAACTTTTTGCACTAGCTTCTTGTGTCTTCATATAAAAGAGGTGTCCCCGACTTCGTTGTAACAAATTTTTATATACTTCTATCGTACAAATCTATTTCTCTGCACACACTTACAACTGTAAGACCGTCAATAACACATCGCTTATCAAGGACTCCTGGCACCAATACAACAATCCTCTAATCAAATTCTTATCCTGGTTAATCAGACTTACAATATGTTCCGAATGGTCTCCCAAGCTCGAGGTAGCGCATGTATCGCTGCCTTCCCCACTCGTAATCATCGCCCTGTCACTTTTAGTCGCTCTGTTCACAACGTCAAGCTAGTAGAACTCCATCATCAGCTGTTCCAGCCAGCTCCAGAGATACTAATATTGCATGGTCTTAGACTTCATGGTCCCACTACTAAGATTGTAGCAAATCCTGTATATAAAAAGCCGGCAGGAAGAATCGCTTCGGAGACTACTCGTTATTCAAATTTGGTTAGTATTCCATCATTCATACGATAACAAAAGATCTTTTTCTTACCTCTATTTGTTATAGGCCAAGACTTCTAATAAAATCAACACACCAACAATTGTTGTAGCTTCTGCCACGGCTCTAATCACGGATTCTCCGGTCGAGACACCCCTCCTGAGCAAAGCAACCTTTGGCGAGTTCATCACCGCGCTTGGCGATGCTATCGAATCTTTAACATGGATTCATAGTGGTCGTCCTAACAAAAGCCCCGAATTTCCTCAAGATACCGGTAATACAATAGATGGAAGTAAGAAATCCTTTGAGATGATGTTTTAGTGGTATGGGTGAAGTGAAGTACCTATCATTTTGATGTCATTTTTTTCCCTCAGCAACACGATCTAGTATCATCACTATATGTTATCTAAAAAGATAGTCGTGAGTTATAGGATTGGAAGTATTTATTGGGACAAGTGGATGGACTGAAAGAGGTCAGGCGAGATGTCAATTCAAACAGCCACATTCAACCAAACTAGCGACACTACTCATTCATTTATGATTATTGTCTATAACATCATCATATAAAATTAATATAACACAATTAATGAGATATTATCAGCATAGCAGTTGTTCCCTTCATATTATTATTCAATATAGTGACGGGGGGTAATCTCTTGAAAATTTTTAACTTGACACATTTTCAACCCGAACTTTCTTACTCATGACACTGTAGCCAGGGTGAGGCAAATTTTGAATTGCACTCGATAGAACTTTATGAATTGAATCGCCCCTGAGGTAAATTATGTAGGACTTGATGAGCACAAAAGTGTATTATCTCCAAAGTACCTATGTACCTGCTATATTGAATCTCAAACATCTCGCCTGAAAGAGATCAATGACTAAATAAGTGATAGCTCCCGATCAAGCTCAAGGTTCTTTTTCATTTCACCGTGCTGAGTTCTTCGTTCAAAAAACGTTCTGACATCGACAGCACAAAGTGATAGACTCCGGTACTATTTTCTGGCAACTCTGAGCTTCTTCGACTCTGGAGACCGGCATGCTCAGCTTGGTCTAGAACAACTCTTGTCGCCGGGAAAGCATGTAAATGAGATTGGGATGAGATAGAGTTTCTAAAAGTATGGCCAGAACTCACAACTAGTATTCACTAATTTTGATACTTCAGTAACATATTAGTCAATACACCTGGAATGAGCTGCGGATTCAAAGATCTCTACTTACTACCAGGTAATCACTGCAATTAAGATCGCGATAATGTATACCAGAGACACAAACTGATCCATTATCTGGACATACACGGAACTATCTTCCCCCGTCAATACCACTCCACCAGTCAATGCCCCGATGTAATGTTCATCTTTTATCTTCAGTACCTTCTCTAGTCGAGACACTTTCCATCTATAAAATGCGAGGACGATGATTATTGTGAAAACTGCGGTAAAAGACACAACTCTGAGAAAATGTATCTCATTGTCTTTTCGATGCATGGCTTCAATATCTGGTGTGTAGAAGTAGGTGCGCTTCTTATTTCCAGTGTCGCCTTTTTCGTCGAAAGCTGGCTTATCTTTTCTGAGTTTAAAGCCCGCCATTTATCATGAAATAGTGAAGTGAAGTCGGAGAATTTATCATGTGTAACTTTCTCATGTCTTTCTTATGCTGTATTTATAGTTTGTATTTGGTGGTGCCCTACAGCTACCCAATCAATTTATATACGACAGCTTCTAAAGCATGGTCCGTGCGGATGAGCCCTAAAAGCTTATTAGATACATAGCCCATTCGCTCATAGCTGCTTCTATGTTTCAATACAGCAGATGTGATACGGCAATGATAGCAAGATTCAAATCGATTACGGCTAAGCGCGGGTTAATACACTGATTGCATCTTGATGTACTTATCTATACATGGGTGTTTTCTTCATGTCAATAAACATTAGTCACCTAAGCTGATCCACCCTCTTAAACTGTTGTTGATTTTATCAGAACGTTCAATATTTTCAAAATACTCTCATTCATTAGTTTCAATACTTTTTTAGAATTGTTGAACATAACATCCCAGTGGACGAAAGCTATCATCTCAAGCAAAAATTACCTGCGACATGCCTTCCAATGTTTACAACAATCGAGAATCTTGTCCGACGAAGGTACGTATCATCATGGTAAAAAGACTTCCATTTGCATATTAATACTAATGAATTTGCAGGACTATGATACAATGACCCAAAGCGAAGCTATCGATGCCATCAAAACACGAACAAAGTCCCTCGAGCGTCTTATGGTACACAAGAACCCCGTTTCTCCAGCAGAAAGCCGAAGAATTGGCATTGAAGACGAAAATGATGAACCTCAAAAGGTCAAATCCCGCTCTAGAAATTGTCCAAAATCGAGAAATACTCAACTCGAGCTGGAACTGGTAATGCTCAAGCATCGTCAGATCATTTCTGTGGTCAATAAAGATTTGAACAATCTCTTCCGTTATACTTTAGACGCGAGGTTAAAGATTCTCCACGAGCATCGTCAGGAGTTTCAGGTGGATATCAAGACTGTTGAGGAATACTTATTTCTCTTAAGAAAACTGCAACCTGCGAACGACAAAGACTGGGCACGAAAGATTAGGTAGGTTGAAACGTACCCCTTCATAAGTCTACGTCGTTAGTAGAGTCAAGCGCTGACTTTCACAACCTAGCATCGCCTCAGAAATAATGACTGAATCTACTGTCATGCGCAGCAATATCGAGGCCCGCATCCAAGAGGTAGAAAATTTCCTATCCGAAATGGCAAGTGAGAAATTAAGCTTAAAGAGAAGAAAAGAAATGGTGCTAGATCTCGGAATACGCCATGGACCCTATGGGACCACGCTTGTAAGTCATTGAGTTCTATTCCGCTAATTTATGTGGTATAAATGGATTCTCAAGAGTTCTACTGACAACTTCTTCAACTATAGACTCTCCGCGACCATGATAAATTTCCCCAGGATAGATACAGGAAACTGATTGACGTAAACTCATTAGAGAAGCAAGTTCGTGGGGCCGAGTTGGTTTCCAAGAAGTTAGGATTGTAGTGAAATTTAAAGATGTAAGGGTTTCCATAAGTCTTTGACTTGAATACCGTGTGGCGAAGATGTATACTTGGGGGCCCTGTTGCCATAAAAAAACTATTGTATTTACTTGCTCCTCATATTTACGAGGGGTTTCTAAGGCAAACCACAGCCTCGCTGAATAGTTTGTTATAGGATTTATTGCACCGCAATGATAAGGGGGATTCGGTTTCATGCATATCTATTTAACAAAGGCTAAATAATTTTAAAAGGTTTTGCCATTTTCCTACAAGGTACTCTTTGAATCCTATCCCAAGCTCATCACGTGTAAAAATGCGTCAATGCAATCATTCAAATACCTTTCAAATTTCGGATTCCCATGCACAAGTGACGTATAATCTCCAGGAATATTAATATCAGAAGATTTGAGGAGCTTGAAAGACGGCCGACAACTAGACTATGGTTTCACTGTATAATTTCTGTCCTTTCGTCTTTGGAAATTTGGATTTCTAACCCCCGATTATATGCGGTGGTATGAGAGATTCAACATCTTTAGAACTATCTTGATTATTTATAATCAATATCTAGGAGATACACTTATTGTGATTAAAGATTAAATCGACTTCGTTCATTACAATACCGAGCCATATGGAAGAGCTCCAATAACGTGTAAATTTAAACTGCGCGTTTTATTCCAGATATTTGCAACTTTCTATTCCGTATCTTTGACATTTACCACCCATCTGATGCATTTCAAATTGCCCTCACGTTTAGAGCTTCCTAGATATTCAGACCTCTCTCTTTCCCTCCGTAACCGCTACCACTCTCACTTAGATAATTGTTGTACAGAATTAGCGCCACACACAAAGCCACCAGAGCTTTTATGTAAATTCATACAACGCAGGCTTTCTTTTTCGTATATAAGAGTCTCTCCCAAAGGTCAAACTACTTCTCTTTCACTTCCTCGAAACAATCTCCATTGAGATTATACCACACGTACCCACTTTACTTTTTCTCATCAAGTCATTCACTCGCACAACCGAGAACTATTTAGACCGGAGAAATTTCATCGAAAAACTTAACAAATTCATGTCTCTTCTGCCCACTCAGATCATATATAGCCCACCACCGACCAGATCTACTTTTCAAGAGCTCCAAGCTCATATTGTCTTTCACAAATAGGCTCCAGTCTCTCACCTTTTTTTTTCAATCATCATGGATACCAAGACACCCACCGCAAGTCTCGTTGAGACGTATCAAAAACAAGTCCTCGATGGCATTACCGTAGTCAATGAGAAACTCTTTTCATTGTCGTACCCCCGCAGAAAGAAGTACCTCTCAGAACTTCTACCAGCCTTACATTTACGAATAAGAGAGGTTGATTCTTATATCGAGAAGCTCAGTGCGGAAGATCTAGCTGAGGAACTTGCGTACGTAGCTTCCAACAATTTCTCTCTCGATTCAATGGATGACATGAACACTAATACTGCGTTTAGATCCATGCACGTTGTCCAGCAGGATTTGCTGCGCACAATTCTTTTTGTCCAGAATTTACTCGACGAATACAACCAACAGAGAGTTCTCTTAAAGTTCCGCGAACAATTCACCACTACGCAAACCCCTGCGGTACCATCTCCAACCGTCAACTCCGAAGTGCTTGATGTCCATAATCCATTGTCAACGGACCTCAAACCTGGCGAGCCTCCCTTTTTGCTACCAAAGATGAAAGGCCTCGAATCTGAAACAAAGGCAGAGGAGCCCTTCAAAAAATGCATTCTTCGTCAACCTCGAGAGAAGTTTCCAGAGCATGGCGTACCAGTTCACAAGGAAGGAGTCAAATTCAAGGCTGTGAAGGATGATATGGGCGAAGACAAAGATTGCTCATACTGAATACTGCTTGTGCGATTGGTTTTTGTTTCGGGAACTGGGATTTTTGAGAATAAAGATTGGTAGATGGAGGTTCTCATTTGCCTTTCTTCTTTCTACGGCAACACGGCAGTGCTTTTATCTGGCTCATTTATATCTGCAATACAACAAATGTCTCCTCCTGTACCCGTTTTGACTTTTGCTCAGTTTCAAAGAGCTCTTATATTTTTGAGATGGGAGACTGTAGTAGGGAATTAGTCATCAAATAATCTGAACTTAAGGACATACAATGCAAAGTTTCAAAGCTCAAATGTATGTTCGTGCAGTAATTTACTCGTTCTTATGAGAAAGCAAACTTGACCTTCTTTTCTAGCCTTTAGTTTGATGTGTTAATTATTGAATTCAACTTGTTTGAGTATTGTTCCTATCTTTTATGTTGTACCTCGAAGCTGTTTGACCACTTTTGAGGAATTCTCGCTTCAAAGCTGCTCCACCAAGATTGCTCATTCTCGGTTATTTTCGTTAAAGAAACCTCCTTCTCCTTCATTCTGTTACTTAGATTATAGACTATTTTGTCTTCAACCTTTTCAGTCATCTTTTATTTATTGTTGTTGGCTAGAACATTAATTTACACAGCACCATTTTGCAGTTCAACTTGATTTGTGATGACTAACTTTTACCATGGATGCCCAATCAAAATGCTGGGAAACGCTCTTACAAAGAACTCTTTCAAAGGGTAATATTTCAGCTTTCTGTGAAAATTTTTAAAGCAGAGGTCACTTGAAGACTTTCATTTCGTCCAATCTCTGCTGCGCCTTTTGCTACAGGGTATCCAGACGCCAATGAAATGCTTGCAATTGGAAAAGCTTTGATGCACTAGTAACGCGTATTTTCTTTCCGTTATCGGTAATCTCTTGAAGCTGTGTGTCTAACAAGGTTGCTCAATCAATTAGCAAGACTGAAGCTCAAGGTTCCAAAGACCAGACCCTCACTAAATATAGATAACTGTTTAGGTATGGTTAATCCACAAGCTGTGATGTAATGACTTGATGGGAAGGTTGATGATTGTTAATTTGTGAGAAATTGCTACTCCTATATACATGTTTCAAACTTCTGTCTTGATTTCACGTGCATCGTTCATCTTCAACTACGTCCACGGTAGCTTACACTACTTTTAATCAATTATCAAGACACCTGGTCCCGTCTTAGACTGTCCCTAGATATATTGCTACAAAATCAAGCTTTTGTTAACTCTTTCATCATTGTCTACTTTCCGGTACAATACATTTTAAGCATCTTTATATGAAATTCGTTGTAGCTATCAAGGTTCCATGGTAATTCTAATTTCTAAACTCACGCAATCATACTAAACACGCATCAATTCACTATTTTGCTATCAGCCCCCCTTCTTTGAACCAGAAATTAGGCATCTCTGAGTCACATTGGTAGTGCAAGCCAAGCTTTGAAGGCACGTGTAGTTCTGTAATTTACGCTAAGTCTCAGAGAGATTTCCTGTGTTGGCTATATTCGTGATTAGCTAGATAATTAAGAGTGAGAACCTTTCAACGACGGAGACTTTCAGCGCTTGCCCACATACTCACAACCAAAATCTGTTGATACCTCGCATTACAATCTCTCCAAATCAAACCCGCGTTCTTATTCTTCTATAATTTAATCTTAGCTATGTCTCAACTAGCTGCCGTCCAAGGGCTCACGATCGATTTTGAGCAATATCACACAAATCTGGTCGCAGATCTTCAACGTTGGGACAATGCAATTGATGGAACAATAGCCAATCGAGTCTTCCAAACTTTTTGTGCTCTCAATAGATTGCACCTGAAGATTGTTTTTATCGAGCGCAGAAAAGCCCTCATTGAACGCATGAGCAGCTTGCCCGCGGATGCTCGAGCCGAGCTTCTGAGGTACGACTCTCAACCTATCAATGCAAGGGATATACTAACGTTTGATTACGACAGTGAGTACGAGAGACTCTTGGCCTTGATGTATCCGATGCGCCAGTGGTATGAAGCCATCCGAGATGACTACCGAGATCTACAAACCGCTAGAAGCAGTGGAGATTTGGAAACTGCCAGAGAGCTTGAGGAAGAGCTTGATTTAGAGCCGGGACATGTTTGATTTGCGAGCTACGGAGGGTAAAGTCTCAAAACAAGATCACCTGGTGACGAGACTAACGGGATCCAGAGACATCGAAATACTGGATGGACCATGACGACACCCCTTTTCCTATTAACGGTGATTTGAGGAGGCAGGAGCATTGGGAACAAGAACAACTGCGGACTGGATCAATGGCGTTCATAGAGGCAATTTAATCACTCAATTGTCTAATAACTACAAAGTTTGATTTCCAATGCTGTGACTTGATATATATTTTCATTACTTTAATTAGTATTTAACCTCTTTGGTAATCAGAAGATTTCGGTAAATGCGCAATGCAATGTCTTTACAAAGGGACTTGTCACAGAGTGATATATACCGGAAATAATAATACCATCAATTGCTCGTTGATCGTTTCTAGCTATACATATTTTTATGTACAATTTGCCTGTACCCATACCTGAGTAGAAAAGATCAACAACTAAGCATTGTAGCATAGCTGATATCCAAGGAAATTCTAGACGAATTGCACCAAGATTAATCAACTTCTGGTGGGTGTAGCCTCTAAAGAGGTGCACCGCGGTTCTCCCACCACTGGACAGCTACATCATCCAACCCTTTCTCTTCCTACGTCTATGATGAATCTATTATCGATAAGAAAGATATCTATCTATAACTGGAAGTTATCCGCTACTTTCTAAGATGGCCCTTAACGGAGCTCAGCGCATGTAGCGGAGGAAGCTAGGCCTTACTTCCGGATGCACTTCACTGTCTTGAATACGATAAAAGCATTACTTACAGTTGTCTTTTCTCCCGAATCTCTATATATAGAATCAGTCGTGGTACGTAACAATCACATCCGGACCGTATGAACTGGAAAGAGCTAATTTTAGACGCTCATGTGCCTAGATACTCATAAGGTGGCCTTGAACCAAGTGAAGAAATCACGCTCGCTAATCAGAGTATGTTTTTTGAACTCGCGCTTCCTATTCAACCTTAATTTACTGACCGTAAGTGTAAAGATTTGGTTACTTAAGGATGTTTGATCTTCCACCGACGAAGACTTCTAAATTCCACGTTTTTTTCACATAATTGATTATTTAAGATAATATCATACCAAACAATCATAATATTTAGATCATCTTACCATCTATTCATCTCGATAAACATCATCTCGATAGACAACATCTCTAGAAAGGAACTTCTCTCGCAAAACCAACATCCCAGAAAGCAAATATGTCACAGATAATCCCTACCCCAGAAGTTCAAAACAACCACATCGAAGAATTAGAAATAGACTTCGACCAATACATCAGAGAACGCCGCCAAGATTGTAAGTCTTGGAATGAAGCAATTACAGGAACATTATCGAACAGAATTGCCCAATGCGAAAATGCGATCAAGAAGATAGACAAAGAGATCGACTTCTGCGATGAGAGAGCATCTAGCATCGGACTAGACAGAGTCTCACCACCGGACTACCAATCTTGGCTCCTAGAGTAAGTCACACCTTTTCCCTTCAGTTTAAAATGGTAAATGTGCTAATCTGTGGTTATTACAGGAACTACGAGCAACTATTAACCATCTTGTACGCGCTGAAAGCTTGGTTTTTCCAATTCCAAGACGATTACGAAGCGCTGCATCACGCATTGAGCAATCGCGATGTCACAACTGCTGAAGAGATCATGCGAGATCTGCAGGAACCCTCGGAGTTTGGCTTGCCGACTGGAGAAGAAAGCCAATCAGAGCCAGAAGAGGACTCAGAGATGGAAGATGAGAGCGAGGAAGATGAGAGCGAGGATGAAAGCGAGTCAGGATCTGAGGATGATCCTGAACAATCTTAACTTGTGGGGATAAAATCATATCTGTGATATGTACCGAGCCACAAGTTTCCACTTTTAAGAAGTGACTGCCGTCGAATATGAGAGTCTCTGCGAGCTAAATCACAGCGGTAGTTTGTGAATAGCATCAATGATACTAGGAGGACAACGGCGAATTGTTCATAGCAATGTTATCAAATTAAACATCATTTCCACCCATCATGTCTTCTGCGCACAAGTTTTGATGTTTACTGCTAATTATATGATTTTACTTGCTTACATGATTGATAGAAGCTACTCACAAGCAGAGAGAATTGGTAGACACATGATGTCGATTTAAACTTTCGACATATCCAAATTTGTTTCCATGAGAAGAACATCTTTTTCCTAGTACTAATGAAGGTATCTAAATATTTTGTTGGTGGATTATTATATCAGAGTTTATGATTATTCTACAACAACTCAAGAGTCACCACATCCAGGCAGGATAGACTGAAGAAGAATATCTCTAAGAATACTAGATTCTGAACTTTGAGACGCCTATCTACACTGTTAAAACAAGGACCAAGTCGTTTGTGACCAACATCCTTTCAGAAAACTACCAAAATCGAGGTGTATCAACTGGTTCATGATGGAAGTTGAACTATAGTTATACAGACATCTAGATTTCTTATCCCTTGAAGTCAAAAGCGAGAATAAGCTGTTTATCCAAATTAAGTCGAAGAGGAGACCAAGATCTATCCCATTGAGATCTGACCAGTATATGGAAAACTTGTTTTTCTCTCTCATTTAGTACTACTCGCAATAATCTTTCAACTGATAGGTAAGTTGAACCTACAAGAGCTTACTATACAATGTGAAATATCCTAGCTACCTTGCATAGAGACGAAAGGTGTCACTGAATATCAAAACATGAGATTTGTAGACTCTTGTTACATTTGTCGGTGTGTACAGTGACAAGTCCATGTTAAAGGTACCGTTTTCCATCAGTACACGACGTTGCAGATAAGACAGGAGTTTATAGAGTGTCACACTTTACTCAGATCTGAAGGCATTATATTCAACTATCCTCTGACAGAAAACTCAAAAAAAATCTCAATAGCAACATGATAGTACTTATTCTCGTCTATACTTTGACCTAACTGGAGCAGCAATATGGATGCTGGTGTCTATAATCCATCGAGATATCTATACCCAATCCTCTTAAGTAACTTCCAACACACAAGAATCCATCCCCAGAGACTTTCAAAAACCATCTAATACCAGTTAGAAACATCTCATCAAGTATTTCATGCCCTTCAAGCCTTGAAAAAGTCTCATTTGTCACGTATTAGTTGATAACAGTCCAAATACCATCTCTTAATTGAACATGTAGTGTCTATCCACAGTTTAAAAAGGCATATATTTGCTCAACATTCATTATGCCTCAATATCATCTCAAACTCGCGTCCAAAGTCTTTCTTCATGACATTATCATCCTCAATGGATATACTAACAATAATGACAACGATGCTACTCCCAGACTAAATCTCAACATCAACGGTCATGAGACAGGTCTTATCAAATCATTATAAAGTCTTGTGACATAGCTAAAATGACGGAAATGATAGTTTACAATGTATCTAGTAACTATCCTGTCTTGAACAATATCTAGTTTGTCTAGAAATAAATAGAACGACGATTCAAAGGTCTTTTTGCTTTAAGATCTAGCTCTCATTATGATACATCAATCTTTATAGACCAAATGATAAATAAAAGAAGAAAAAAATCAAATTCTCCAATTCCCTGAAAGATTATCTACTAATTGAAGAAAAATTCTTTTAATCAATTTCAAATTGTTCATTAACTAGATTAGTTAATTGGTTTACCTACTATTCCTAAAATTTGTAGATAAAATCTTTAGATAAATGTATATAATGGATTCATTAAATTAACTAGGATATCGATGTGTTGTAGTTAAGTTGTATTTAATACCCTTAGAAGCTTTTTTTTCGCATTTACAAAGAAGATATGGACATTAGGCCTTATGATATAGCTAAGTCATCCAGCTTCTTATTAAACTGTCGTATACCCAAAACATCTAGCATATATAAAGAGAAAACTCGTACATCTCCATCACTTTTCTCATCTCCATGCTTTCATCTTTGATTTCTCATTCACGACTAAAAAACTTTGATACGCTATCTAGAGCATTACAATTACCCACTTCCTATCTTTCTACCTCCTAATAGTAGCTCATCAATCTTATAAATCCCTTCACTACCACCCCTCACTCCACAACCATACAAACCTCCTCACAAACAAACCCATTTCAATCATCTGATCTTCCCTCCTTCACTATCTCATACTCATACACATCCCAGTCCAACCATCTCCACCATCTCCCTCCCCTTTTTATTCTCCATTCTCCATTCTCCATTCCCCATCCCCCATCAAAACCCTCTTCATTTGTTCAATCATACCCGCACCAACACCATCAACAATTCCAAACACTTGAATAGCAATACCAATATACATTCCATCCATGATTTACCGCCAGCCCAATCTTCTCAATCGAAGAGTCTCACTACGATCTGATTTTCCTGAAATCTTCATACATAGCTAGCTAATCAATAACATCTATCATCCCATCTACCATCTCCCATCTCCCATCTCCCATCACTCATCTAAAGTCTCTTGCCTTGCTCTATCCCCTCATTTTCCACCCTAACCCTATTGAAAATCCTATTTCTATAAAATCCCATATCTCCAAACTTAACCCCTTCCAGAACCTCGACTCCATCACCTCAACTTTCTATACCCACAAACTCAGTATCAAACTCCGTATCACCCTATCGAAAATCAATTTCATACACTACAAAATTCATTTCATCTCCATCTTTATGTCATCTATCCATCATAACCAAATTCCAAGCATACAACGCCGCATCTATATATCTTATACAATCTTCTCTGTTCCCTCCTCATCTCCTTTCTCCTCGCCTCGTCTACTCATACCCAACCTCCAAGATCATCTAATAAATAACTCCAATCATATACATATCTTCCATATTCCCATTCTCCTCTCCCTCCTCTCCTCTCCCCTTAAGTTCCCATCCGCATTTCCCATCCGCATTTCCCATACCATGTATTTCCCTCCCCCCTCCCCCTCCTCCTCCCCCTCCCTTACCCCTCATTCCCTCATTCCCTCGTTCCCCTAACCCTAAACCTCCTCTCCCTTCCTTCCTTTCCCATCCCCAAGGCATCGATCCCACGCCTAACCTCCTATCTACCTATATCTCCCTATTTGATCCTCTACTCGCTTACTCTTTTTCCTTTCCCTTACCCTTCACCTCTCACTCCCTATATTCTTTCCCTATTTACCCCTCATCTCCAATCTATCACCTACAACCTCTTACTTAATCCAATCTTCTAAATCAATTTCAACTAACCTCACCCTATCCAGTCTCACCTCACCATATATCTATCTCCTATATACCCAAATTTTATTCCAATCTTTATTTTATCCTATCCCATCCTATTCCAACTCAGAATATATAATAATCATACTCCACCTTACTCCATTTCATTTTGATACCCTTCTCTTCCCTTCACTTCTCATTCCATCCCATCCCATCCCATCCCATCCCATCCCATCCCATCCCATCCCATCCCATCCCATTGTGTCCTATTCTATTCTATTTTATCCTATTCTATACTTATTCACATTTATCCACACTCCCTCTCCCCCTCCCCCTCCACCCCATTCACATCCATCTCCCCCTCCCTCCCCTCTCAATAAATACACATCTCCAAATTTATCCATATTAAGCTTATCCAAACCACACCTATAAAACTCATTACAACCCTATTAAGTTTCTCAAATTTTTAGATTTATCTCTGGATTTCCATCACTTCCATCACTTCCATCACTTCCATCACTTCCATCACTTCCATCACTTCCATCACTTCCATCACTTCCATCACTTCCATCACTTCCATCACTTCCATCACTTCCATCACTTCCATCACTTCCATCACTTCCATCACTTCCATCACTTCCATAATAATCCTTTTCCAGTCAGAGCCAAAGCCAAACCTTTACCTTTATCATTGAGAAACTCAAGTATAACCACAACCACAACCAAAACCACAGACACTACAGACACCACACACAATAATCACTCTATATCACTCAGGCCCGTTCTTGAGAAGTTGATATTCATCACTATCAGCTACATAGCTACCTAGCTACCTAGCTAGCAAGTGTTTCTCTCTCCCAAATAAATATAAAATGAACAAACAATCCCTTTAAACCTCATCCATGATTCATCCATCCTAGATCCTAATGCATTTGCCTGTCCACCAAATTCCCATTTCATATCTGTTGAATCATACGAGTACATAAAGGCCCTTTTCTCTCGTGGAACTGACTATTCTCACTTTCATTCCTAATCAGATCACCACCCACTATCCCCTCCACTCGGACCCATTACTAACTCCACTTCCGCTCTCTCCAGGTATGGGTAATGTTCCATCCTCCTCACTTTCTTCCCCCTCATCCTCATCCAAAATTCTCGCCAACTCATCCGGATCCTTCATTTTCGCATCCTTATCCACATCCGCATCAATGACTCCACTTTCTTGTCCTTCATATCCTGCCTGTCTTTGACTTTCGCCTGCAAGAACTCCCTCATCTGCACTAACTGAAATACCTCTTGCTCCCCATTTAGTACCATTTCGGCTTGGCTCTTGTCTACCGACAGTATTTGCTTCCTCATCCCCCTCATCATCATCATCCGTGCCCACCATATGTTTATTGCCCAACACTCTATTCAACAACCAGCCTCTACTGATATCATCCGCATCAACAACTCCTCCATTTCTCAACTTGACTCTTTGTCTTGTATAATAAACCCAAGCAAAGTCGATGTAAAACGCTGTTTGGATCACGCCACCAATGATTGATATCGCATCTGGAGAACGATCATTTATATCTAAGGAACGCCAAATCCAATTCAAGATGTAAAAGAAGCGGTAGGAGCCGAGTGTTACAAGGTAGAAAGAATCGAGGACTGTGGGAACTGTTGTTTGACGGAGAAGAAGGAGTTGGGGGAGGATACAGGTTGACTCGAGAAGAATGGAGAAGACCCAGAGGACCTGTTTTCATCTTGATTAGTATTGCCCATGTTCAAATATCGAGGAATAAACTCACCTCCATAAAACCCCAACCATACTTCTTCTCAAAAATCATCATCGCAATCGGTGCCAATACCGCACTTCCCACAAAACACAATCCACCAAGTTTCCAAGCCTTTTCTCTTTCCCTGGTTCTCGCATACACTCTTAACATCAAAAAGAGAATGTAGAGAGAAGAACCTATATAGAAGACTTTGAGGACGAAATTCCAGAGGATAAAAATCCCAGAGAAGAGATCCAGGTAGCGGGTTATAAAGACGAGGGCATAAAGAGATTGGGTTATGAGGGAGACACCTGGGAGATGTTAGTTTGGGGGGTTGCTTATCGGAGGGGTGGGGATGGCGGGGAAACATACCTTCCGCGGAGGAGTTACGGTGAATGGCGAATATGAGGATACATTTTGAGAGAGTATGGGAGATATCTCCCAGAATGCGGAAGAACTGAGGAGAGAAGGGAGGGTTAGTAATGCAAAGGCAGGAATGGAGTTGGGATTGTGCGAATAATGGGAGGCAGCTTTGGATGATTTCCAAGATTGACATACATTAAACCCAACCATCCTATCTACTTGTATCAATCAGCTCCCAACAGGATAGTTGTAGATGACAGTTGCTAAGTGAGGATGTTCAGAGAGTGATTGAGAAGTAATTGATGAGCTGTGAAAGCTATGGTATCCGATAGATTACGCGTCGCGGTCGTTATGCGACAATACCTAGGTAAAGAGCATTAGAGAATACGAAGCATTACTGTCCTCGAAATCCTCAATGGAATCTCTCCAAGATAGGTTTGTAAACTTTCAAGAGAACAATGAGATCAAATGAATAAATCAGGACAGTTTGAATGAAGTGAAACATGGTAACGTTGTCACAGGCTAAAGGAATGGATAGCTTCAGCGATTCGCTTGTGGCTGATGCTTTGGATTGTGGCTGATATTTGAGGGTATCTCGTATCGGATTAGGTAATAATAAGGGTTCAAGCAAGGGTCTGTTAGGGGACGAGGGGGAGGGGACCATAACATAACTAGCCCTAGTTATGTTATGGTCCAATGATCTGGAGATCATTGGACAATCTAAGTAATCCATCTAATCAATCTTTCTTTTCGTGAAAATCGGTTTGATAAAGTCACATAGTGAAGTAGTTGCACTTGTAGTAAAGTAGACTCTCATATGAACATACCTACCTATCTAAGTATCTTGCGGAATAGAATATTCATTGGAATTCATATATAGATCTCGGTATAAATATAAACATGAACGCCAAAATCTTAGACGATCCTTCTGAAAAAAAAATACAACAAAATAGGTAGCTATATATGCAATCATCTCAGTTCTACCTCCCATAATGCTCTCAAGACAGATAATCCTCCACCCTGAGTTTCAACAGTTCTTCCTCTACCTCGATCATTGGGATCTTCTACCCCACCATCGTTATTTACACCTTCTCTAGTCTTGCTTGCTTTCGCTTCTTTGGGGTATTCCTCTCCTCTCCATTCGGCATTCTTTGGAACTCCAGTATTCCGATAGTCTACAGAGCCACCCGATGTCTGATTCTGTGTATAGTCTGCAAATGAACTCTGAGTGGCCGGTACACCCCACCACATACCAAATTTCCCTTCTTCATTCTTAGTACTTAATGCAGCTTCGGCATTTCGCCTGATCCATTTTGTATACTTTGAGCACTTGTCAGAATGCCACTCTCTGTCGAGTTCCAGACTTTCTTTCGTCCCTGCGATAGGCTCTCGTGGCAAATCACTACAGAATGCAATCAAATGATGAAAGAATATGCCTTTGAAAGTTTGTCCATTTTGAGAACACGAAGCACTTGAATCGCAACCTTCTTCCAGTATTCCATTTCTACCAAGACCAAACCACTTTGCCAATGCGGAACCATCTTTGGGTGGCGGTGAGATGACAACATTGTCTTTCAGATCGTAGCCTGTGGCATTAATAACATTCGCGATAAGTTTATGGCCATCCACAAGGTATGATCGTGCAGCGGTCGCGTCATACAGACCACGTTGTCCGGTAAGCAAAACGCCTTGATTGTAGGTATATACCATTTCATTTCTAGAATCGCAATGGGTATTGTCACCGCCAGAAAGATTCGAGATATGATATCCGTCGACATATAGACCTTGCAAATCCGTCATATTTGAGCCACTCAGCCACTTGTAAGCATCAACAGCTGCCTGTAGATATTTCGGATCGCGAGGTGGATATGTAGGGCTGGAATGAATAAATGGGGATTGATTGTCATCTCCAGGGAAATATAGGTACATCGATATCGAAGCTGCGATGTAGAGTTCATTGGTGATTGCGTTCTTGTATGGAGTAAGGTATGGAGACCATATCATCCCACCACCACAGAGAGTCGTGTCCCATCCTTGCGATGCCAATTCCCAAAATAGTCGCGCCCGGTGGGCAAATGCAGGTTTGTATTGTTGTCCGTACCACTCTGGCTGAGAGTCGTTCGAATAGTGTAATTCAGAGTGCAAATCAATGAATTTGACAGTATCCAACCAACCAAGAACTACCCATAACATATCATCATAGGCTTGCTGTCGTAGAGAGAAGGCATCCTGGCCAAAATAAAATCCAACTACTTCGGTGAAGTATTTATTGATGATGTTCTCGTTCATTTTTGGCGAGGAAAGTTCAGAAAAGGACTTGGTAATAGTGGTGAGAGCACCAGCAACATAAGTGCCTGTTTGGAAAGTAGTGTCAGTTCTTGCTCAATAAAGATTTCAACATGGAAAGAGAGAATTATACCAATCACTGCAGATGTCCAATCAATTCCTGTTGGATAAATGCCTTGCCATGTCGCAAAGTAGGCTCCTTGTAGCACGTCCAGCGCGCTTAACATTGCCGGTAGGATTTTTGTATCTCCAGGCTGGATGGGCTTTTGAGGGCTCCCATTGATTGTGATATCTTCATTATTCGTAAGTGGTCGTTGAATCAAATCATTCTGTCGCACAACATCGTTTGACCTGCCATATACGCCAATTGAGAAAGATGACGCGCAGAATAAACACAGCAGAAGTAAAGACATGCGCGGTCGTGGATTGGTATGTATTGAGAACGAAATCATGATTGAGGCTTCTCCTCACCGCCGATCAAAGAATAACAGTAGTATGTACGAAATGTACGAAATGCGATTGAAACAAAAGGAAAGCAACTATTCCAACAAGTAGGACCTTTTTATCCTTCTACCCAAATAACCTTAGGAGACGGAAGACATATACATTCGAGCAAAAAAGAAGAAAATGACAATGAAGTTGTCCACGAGGTCACAAAGGAAAGGAAAGGAGGAAGGGAAGGGAAAGGAAAGGAACGGGAGCAGATTATGATTCAGAATTGAAGCTTGCGAGGGTTGTAGGAGTCCTCGTGTTCCTGGTCTCCGGTGATCTTGGGGGAGTGCCAAGGTAAGGCTTATCCGATTCGAGAACTAAGTTGTTTCCAAAAAAAGGCGGAGGCGCGGGGTCGTGTCATGTGATCATGTGCCTTTCCGAGAAGTTTCTCTTTATTCATTTCAATGCTGCATGTTTGTCATTCTCACCCATCATAACAACACTCAATTTTGGGAATAGTATCACTTCTTGCCAAACCTACGAAAACGATTTTCTCACTTGATATCGACGGCATGCTTTCTGCTCACAATGTTCAAGGACACAGGATGGCACCTACACACGAGGCCAACACGATGAAATGTCTGCAGAGCCATCAACTAGCTTTACATTATCGTTATGTTTCAAAAAAATTGGTATCAACGGCATTCGTTCTCATTATGATCATAACAATAATACATTCATTGGTTGTTTCTATCCCAACCATATTCCAAAAAGTCTCACTCGCTCCTGTCAACTCCACGCTGAAAAACAATCATCCTCCCAAGACCGATCCCGCTAAACATTCAAACAGATTATCGCAAATACTATATTGCAATCCGTGACAAGCGTCACATTGGATATGATACTCTTCACAAGCCGGGGACTTGATGACCTAATGACTGGTGTCAGCGATGATATTCTAAAAATGAATGGGATCAAGATAGTCACTTACGACCAAGAGGTTTGGCTCTCTTGTAGATGTTGTTTGCTTGTCCTTGTCGAACCTTCAATGCTTTTGCTCTACACAACAGATTAGTATCTTGTGCTCTTGCTTTCTTCAAAGTTTGGATGACTTACTGTGCTTCCATCTCCAGCTTAAGTTGTCTCATATGTTCTCTTGCTTCTGCCACCGCCTCTCTAGCATTAATCAATGCTCTGTCGGCTTCTCTCTCCATTTGCTCAGCATTAATGATTCTTTGCTCCGCAGCTGCGATAACTGGGTCTTGAACTTCTCGATTCTTGTGTAAGAATCCGCGATTACGACTACTGTGAGATGGAGTGGAGGAGACGGTGGACATGGAACGTTCAGACGGTGAGATAGACTCGGCACGGTTACGATGGAAGATAGATGAGCTTCGCTTGGGCTCTTCCACGACTGGCTCTGGCTCATATTCCTCTTGATGGCGACCGAAAAGAGGCATGTTGATGGTTGGTATGGGTTGTTTTGAGATTTGATATCTGTTCAAGGATATAAATGAATATTTGGAGTATGTGACTTGGCGAAAGCTTATAGTGTATATTATTTTTAATGATTTGATAATGAGAAATTTCCTTCAAGAATACGAGCAGTTTCGTGATACTTATCTCCTCTCATTCAATCCTCCTCCCCATCATCATAAGAATCTCGCTTCTTGCCAAGTTTCTCTTGAGGAAACAGGGGGTGCACACAATGACGTCAATTTTGCGACGTCAGCGATCATCCTTTTCCTGTATTATACAACCAATAGATAAATGAATACCAAATTCAAATGCTTGTATTATGATCATCATAATCGAACTTGATTCAAGGTTTTGAAGGGATTGATTGATGAACTGCTGGCGGTAAATGATTGGGCTTGAGCACATCAGCCAAGATAGGGCAGGGCAGCGGATGAATGGTTACACAAAGTTTAATTGATTGATTTCAACACATGCTCAAGGTACGATTCAGATGCTATTCGCTTCCCCTACGAGTCTACGACGTAGACTACACCGCAGACAGGATATAGTCCAGCCTAGTTGATTGAGTAGTTGATCCTGCGGGTGATAGCAAATCCTCCTCCAATTTTCAGACTAAAGGATATACTTTCGCATCTATATATTTCCAGCTACTTCAATAGTTCGTCAGACCGTTCTGTTGCATGTCTGGAAATTCAAAATCGCTCTAGTTTACTTGCCTTTCAACTGATTGGATACTTGAACAACTCACCATGGACTTTTGTTGCATATCTGAAAGTATAAAATCGCGATGGTTGACTCGAGTCAAATTGTAATTAGGATGGCTGCCGTCTTTGCCCACTCAAAAAATAGACACAGTACCTAGGTACATAAAATGAAGATGTTTCAAGAACTCGCTAGAGGAAGTAGGAATAGGGTGATTGGTTTCCCTCATTTGAAGCTCGAAAAGACATCCATGACTTATGAATTCAGTTTTACGCTCGCCAAGTCTCAGAAACTTCCTCATTCGGAAGGTCAATATGAGGCTATCTTACCACAGTAACTGATCTCTCACTGACATGACCACTAATCAAGCAGATATTCGAGGTAGAAACCGAAATGTTCACACCGATTTTCAAGAAGAGCAAATGTAAATTTTCTTTCCGAAAATTATTGAAATCATGATATTGAAACCCTAATAACTACTTGATTCAATCTCGTTCCGTTAGCCTTTGAATTTTTAGTATCGAGCGACAGATCGCCATGAAGTTTTTCCATTCCATCATTCATATCTTCGTTGCCCCATAAACAATTATTGATCCATGACCAAAACACTTCTGAACCTAACATCACCACTTAACATGTGATCATAAGCCTTCTGAGCATCCTTCAATGGGAATTTCTCAATCATGCAGTGAACATCATGCAACTTGGTGAACTCAATAGCCTCCTCACTATCCAACGCATGACCAGATGGGAAACCGCAAACAGAAGCCATCTTCATGATGAGATCAACCGAGTTGATCTCCACGCCACCACAAGGAGCCAAAATGAGCAATTTTCCACCCGCGCCTAATCCACCAGTTAAGGGAGAAATGGATTTTGGGTTTGGAGCCGTGCAAACAATGAGGGCTGCTCCTCCCATTTCGGTCAATTTCTTGACGGGATCATCCTTCGATGTGTCAATATACTCATGAGCACCCAACTTATGAGCAAAATCTCTCTTCTTGTCACCACCACTAATAGCTACAACCTTGAATCCCATCTTAGCTGCATACTGTACAGCCAAATGTCCCAATCCGCCCAATCCTTGAATGGCAACAACTTCACCAGGTGTAATCTGTAATTTTCTCATACTGTTGAAGACAGTGATTCCGGCGCAGAGGACTGGGGCATATTCATAAGGATCGACATCTTCTGGAACTCTCACTACGGCTTCGCTTCGAAGGTGAACATATTCGGCGAATCCTCCGTCGCGAGTAACACCGTTAATGGCACCATTGGAACACATTTGACTGCGGGGTCAGATCGTTAGCAAATCACAAGTCATATTGCTATTGCAGAAAAGAGAGATGCTAGCAAGAGGAAAAACATACAATTGTCCTCGATTGCACTGTTTACAAGTGCCATCATGACCTCCGTGCCAAGGACCTCCTACTCTCTCTCCAACCTTCCATTTCTGCACACCTTCTCCAACAGCAGCAACGGTACCAATTATCTCATGGCCCGGAATGATCGGAAACCCGTTTCCGAAACCACCAGATTGAACGACGGCGTCGGAGTGACATACTCCGCATGCAATGACTTTTACGAGAACCTCATTTGCGGATGGTTGTCTTAGCTCGATGTCTTTGATGACGAATGGACTATCGGCTTTTTCGAAAACAGCAGCTTTGTAAGTTTTTGGGAGGGACATTGTGGAGATGAGGGCTTGAGCTTTGTTTTTTAGAGTGGTTGGGAGGGTGGTTATGGTGTTCATGAGTTGGATGAGTGGATTTTGTTGTCGTGCTTGTGGAAACAAGAGGGAGGGAGAGAAGCTTCGTTATATTTATTACTTTGGAAGGAGGGGGGAAGGAATGATGTATGTGTTTTTAGGAATGTGGGCAGACATCAGAGCAAAGATAAAGGAAACAGCTACCCCGCGCCTTAAAGCCGGTGCGGAGATTGAATGCATTCTGCATATAATTTGTGATCAAATACATCATAACAACTAATCAAAAGCTAAGACTTTGCTGGTCGTCGGCGATACAAAATCTTACAGGTGAGATGATAGGAGATGCCTGAAGAACGAAGCTTTGGAGCTTCAAAGCTTATGGCAGCGATAAGGTTAGTTGCTAAAGAAGTTAGTAGGTGGAACCCCGCAATTGAACCCCTGACTATAAGCGGTTTTTCATTGGCCGTAATACAGTACATGCTTTGTGGGCCCGGACTTCGGGCTCTGTTCTGTACAAAGCTGTTTGTGAATTTTACGAGTAAGCTGATGTCGATAGTGGGGTATTCGAGGAATAATACAGAGTACTTGTTGAATCCATTATCATCGGTTTCCTTGAGATGAATAGTGATGATGCTAGTAGACATCACGAGATTTGTCAAACAGGAGATGATACATATTCCAGTGCATATGTCATGGCATTCTTTGTTCAGAGAAACTTTCCTTAAAACAACTCACATCGCAAGCAAAGAATCAATCATCGCGATATCATTTGGACAAATACAGAAGTTTCGTATTCCGTCCCCAAAATGCTTGACAGTCCTCGATGTAACGTTTTGATTGTGTATCTGAGCATGATTGTCCAGAATCATCCAAACATCTTAGCAAACCATAGGTGCAGAATCGTAAAGTAGAAACATCACAAATGAAGACACCACCACAATCCATTTCAAAAATATCATTGGTTTGTCAACCGTCAAAAGGTTTCTTTGCATAAAGCCACAATCAAGTGTAGCATCACGATGCTTCTTCCTCAATGGGTCATTTGCAAATTTCCCCTCATTCCTGCTTTTTCAACTGGCAGTGATAAGGATGGTTAGTAGTTCACGTTGCTCAACATGAGTTCACCTTCTTCATCTTCCAAAATTAGATACAGGATGATACCGACGAAAGATGACGGATTGAATGCGGCGGTAGGGAGAGTTGATGAAGAATCAGAAGAGGTGGTACAAGAAGAAAGCGTCACGGGTTCCGATAGCAGATGGAGATACATCACGGAGTCTCTTCCTCACTGGAGAAGCATTTTTGACCGGGAAACGTGAGCTGAGTCCATCATCTCTTGTCTCACTCAGCAGTACTAATTCCCCACAGCTATCCTGGCTCCCTTCTATTCAACACGGGGGCTTTCATCCTCCCAGCTCTTTACTCCACCCTCAGTAAACTATGGGTAGCCAATATCGATTCTACCCAAGTGGCAACCACAGATGTATACACCTATATCGGCGTAATAGTAGAGGTACTCAACGAGGGACTCCCTCGAGCTGTCTGGGTTATCATAGCTGATGAATCAAATCGAAGTGTACGTTCACGATTGACACTCACCTATACCCTCATTTCCTTCCAAATTCTATTCGGTATTCTACTCATGATAATTTTTCTCGCAAGTGCCGAACATCTCGCCGCGGCTTTTGTACCTGAGATTGTAAGAAAAGCCAGTCTTACATATGTTAGAATCTCATCAGTACAAGCATTATCCAGTGCAATGAGCACTGCGGTTGCAAATTCAACACGAGCTTTGGATCATCCAGATGTACCGCTGTTGATTAGTTCGGTACAATTTGCGGTGAATATTTTGTTGGACTTGCTTATCATTTCAAAATTCCATGTAGGCTCTTTCACACCAACAGTTAATACCCAGGCGTTGATCAGAATGACATGTGATCTTGCTTCTGCAGGATGTGGCTTGCTATATTTTATTTATCTTGCTTTGAAGATGCAACGGTCTTCTTCTTCGCCTTCTACTACACGCGAATCCGCATCTTTATCGGCATCTCCATCGGGGTCACTATCACCATCCGAGTCAGGAAACGCAGCCGAGTCAAACCCCAGAATCACCATTTTAGCACTCAAAACACTCTTCAAACCAGGAAAATGGACATTCCTCGAATCCGCTCTCCGCAATGCGATCTATCTATGGCTCATCCATGGGATTGTATCTATGGGTCTTGATTATGCTACTGCATGGGGTGTGTTCAATAATATCCGATGGGGTATTGTTATGGTTCCTGTGAACGCATTGCAGGCATCTACATCGACCTTCGTGGGTCATGCGTGGGGAGCTTGGAGAAAGAGTGTTGGGATTGAGACCAGGAAGCCGAGAGCTGAGATGGCGGATGTTAAAAGTAGGTCTTGAGCTCCATCTATTGGAATAAATACGAGGGAGGAAATAATACTGACAATCACAGAAATCGTTCACTACGCCCTAGTATCCAGTGTCATTGCCCTTCTCGTAGAAAGCCTGTTCTGTATCTTCCTCTCCCTCTGGGGCATCCGCAAGTTTTCTTTCTACCTCTCCGAATCCGCAGCTGTAGCAAAAATCACGGAACACATGTGGAGAACAATCGACTGGTGTTATATCTTCTATGCCGTCACCACGCAACTTGTCGCTATTCTCCTGGCTACTGTCCCGAAGCTTTACTTTGTGCAAAGTCTGGGAAGTAATCTACTATGGATGCTACCTTGGGCAATTGCGGTAAGTAGAATTCACATGACGAGCGAGAATGCGTGGACGTATGATGGGATTATTTTTGGGGGAGCGCTGGTTTTTGATTTTCTGAATGTGGGAGTGGTACTTGGGGCGTGGTATTGGGGATTGAGGAGGGGGAGATTGGTAGTGGGTTGATTGTGGGAGGGATCAGAGTTAGGGTGTATCAAGGAAATTGGAAAATTAGTTGACTTTTTTGATGCTTTTAATCGGACTATGCATTTGAACCAAGTAGAAAAGATTGGTTCCAGAATTCCAGATTTGCAACAGCATCTCATCTTGATATGTTGAGACTGTGAATGAGTGAAAATTAGAATTGATGAAGCTGCCAGAAAGAAACTCTCGAGATGACACTATCTTCTTCATCAGTGGCTGGGGGGAGGAATGAAAACTTGTAAAATCACACATCTAGGAAGCACTGGCTGGTATCCAGATTCATTTAGCAACATTTGCCTAAGTCGGTATACAGGCAAAGCAGCTAAGTCTGTGACAAGGAAAATAGTGTCTGAGGCCCAAGAGGCCCTAGAATGTTGTGGATACACTGCCTAGATATCCTTACCAGTAGCCTGGAGTGGATCTTTAATCGACCCGGAATACGGGGTTGCTAAAGCTTATTTAAATAAGCTTATTCGCAACCACTGGGTAAGTATTCCCTTGTCACTTTTTGTTTCCAGCTTTTTAAATACAGAGATTTTGTCAGTAATTTATCGCATGTTGAGAAGTGTCTCGAAATTTCACTCAATTTCATTATTTAAGATGGGTAAGTTTGACGAGAACTACCTACACATACTACTTCCAAAATATTGACCAAATCGTCTTCAGGTTACTCGGAGATTCCATGTCAAATCTGTGGCGTTAGCTTTAACATAGGACGAGATCGGACTCCAGATGAAATTGATGACGAAAGTGCTTCCTGGTATAATCCAGATGGAGGGTATAAGGCGGGGGATGAAAGTTGTGGTACCGAGTATGGATGTTTGTTCTATCGTACAGCATTGATTCCAGAACAGAATGGAGAGCACAATATGCAAAATAATCTACCTTTCTATGAAGATAACACACCCATGGTTGAGGATGACAGTTTGTCGTATTCCTATGAAAGTGCATCGGATGATGAGCCTTTGGAGTATGATTCAGACTCGGATGAGAGTTCCTCCAAAGACCATGTTTTGGAAGCATCTTCCGCAATAGAAGATCACCAAGACGCCCAAATAGGCAATGAGATGGAAATAGATGACTACGAGAGTGATTGCAATTTCGACTCAGATGACGACAAAAAGCTATATCACGAATGGTTATCGAAATTCGATCAACACAAGTTACTAAATCCTCCAAGAGTCGAGAAGATCATGATGACTAATGAAGAAGCACAAAGTGTGCAGTGGGAGAATAAATTTACACATCTACCAGGCCCCAAATGCTCAGGAAGCAAAGCATACAATGGCAATTTCATCACTGCTCAAGAAATGAGAGGGTGTACCACGGCACAATGTCTCGTTTACAAGGATAATAACTGGAGTCCTAGCCCTGATGACGAAGACTTTGAACTCGAGGGGGGTGTCTTTCTTTCCGGTCTTGGTGACCATGTACCTTCACGGGACATGGGTTACGTCGTATTAGCGCCAGCCCGTCATGGACTCGATAACGATGTGCTCGCAGATACTGTGATTTGGCAAGTAGGTCTTTTCAATTCTTCATGATCTCAAACAAAGGAAATTCTTCCATCAATTCTAAGAATTAGTCATGTTCTCATGGTCAGACTGCAGCCGAGAATATTGAATATTCTATTCACACACCATTATCTTAAGAACAAAGGTTTTGAAAACTGATTTCATGATCTGCAGGTGCCTCCAAATACTCAGGAAGTGGCAATGCCATTTCATCCAACTTGTCTCGAGGTCTATAAACATGCATCACGGCTAAGTTTCAATCAGACTTCTATTCAAGATTTAATGAAGTGGCGCGATAAAGAGTCCTGCTACAGATATGACACTGATTTTCCTCGCGATCGCGCTGTCCGTCACTGCAGTGAGCAATGGTGGAGCCATAGTCGCGGCACAGAATGGCTCGCCGCAAACCCTGTCTTCATACCAGCTTTGCGCTCTGTCTTTCAATCAGCAATAACCAAAAATTCACATTTCTCCCTCAGCTCGCCAGCCTTCCCTATCCGCCCTTCAAAACCTCGGCCCCGACGGTCCCCACGTAATGATTCTCGGGATCCATTCCTCAAGCTGTCGCAAGAACTTCAAGATGAGATTATATTGTATCTTCCATCTAAAGATATTGCCTCCATTCGTCTCGTATCCAGGGCTTTTACTCAACTTTCTCAGGGTTTCTTTTATAAACTTGTTATTTCTGAAATGCCTTGGTTGTGGGAAATATACGATCTCACACCTCCATCTTTCTGGGCTACTGTTTCTGGGGCGGACCTCAAGTCTCGTGAAAAAAGACGAACAGAGCATAATGAGCAGTTAGTGGCATTGCGTTCACTTATTTGGGAAGAACTTCCCGAGTTGTACGACGAATGGAAAGCTGCTGAGCCCATGTTTGATGAGAAAATTGAGGGGGCGTTGAAGACGGGGTTTGAGAATGGGGTTGATACGAAGAAATTGGATTGGTATCAGTTGTATTTGGGAATTACTAAAGGATTCAAGGAGGGAAGATTGAAAGGGTTACGAAACAGAGAGAGGATTTGGAAGGATGTGGAGGAGATTATAAGAAGAATAAAGAAGTATGAGGAAACGGGATGGGCTGTTGCAGAGAGAGGTCAACAAGTGGTCTGACGGATTCAGAAGTGTATGGTATATAAAGTGTTTGAAGGTCCGTATAATATTGAACGGTAAGCGTGCTTCTTGGTTTGTTAAGATATGAGTCTCTCGTTCATCAATGAAGATTCATCGAGAAAAGCAAACGTAGATCCAAGATACAGCTCAAGTTGTGTGCCACCGAACATGGTATTTTTATACTTTCTGTAGAAAACATAGTCACTCACGCCATCGTGTTATAAGACAAAGTATTGAGATGGGTGGAGCCTGGATTGGGGATAGAGTGAAGGTGCATAAGGAGATAGGGTTTAAGGGAAATGTTCGGCAGTTTGATTTGACTTGTGGAATAAGACGGCAATGTGAAAGAGTTGTCATCTACCCCACTTCCTTGGCATGCAAAGAGGATTGAATGTGGAAGGTGCAACTTATTGTCTCAACTCGTAAATACCCACAACATCTTTTCCCCTGGTTTATTCATTGCAACTCTCCTAGGTAAATATCCTATCAAAAATTCTCCTTGGCTGAAGAAAAGTAAGCGGCGGTTATGGAGAGCAGATCATTCTGGATCTGGACACGAAGCGGGGTCGTTCATGCTGCCCCTTCATTTTTCGCTTATGAATACAATCTGCCTTGATCGAGAAACTAGATTTGTTACTGGACAGTACTAGGATAAGAGACATTAATGCGGATTACATGCGAGATAAGTTTTAAAGATTCTTCCAAAAGCTAATTTAAATGTCACTCACATGATGCGTTGTGGCATGGTGCTCGCCAACCGTACTCCAATAGCTGAACAATCTTGTACAGACCCAGAAAGATCTGCAAACCTTCAATACGATACAATGTAACATCTCAGGACGTATAAGTATCTCGTCCCCTCCATTGTCACCTTCGAACCTTTGATTTATATCTCGATCAAGCCAATATTGATTCTCTTTTGTTCGAACAGAGATACTTCGTTTTCATTACCATTCGCACAACTTCAAAGCATGGATACTACTAAGGATTCCCAGTGGAGGTATTCAACTTCATCACATATTCCTCTATCATTACAAATAATTGTAATCTCTGTGGTTGTTACTTCTCTATGCTGTGCCTTTCGGCGTCTATACTTCCATCCGCTGTCCAAAATTCCAGGACCAAGGCTAGCTGCCGCAACATCCTGGTATGAATTTTATTACAACTTCATTCGAGATGGAATATATGCCAAGAAGTTTGAAAAAATGCACACAGAATACAGTCAGTTTATCTTTTCAACTCAAGGCTCCCGTTTGGCTAAATAGCACCCTTCAGATTCTTCGGTCATCCGAATTGCCCCCAATCATGTCCATGTCAATGATCCAGAATTTTTTTCAAAGTAAGCACCTGAGGTAAACAACATCGAACTGTGGATATTGAGTCATGATAGAATGTTCAACAACAGGACAACTTATCGCAAGGACCCAGGTTATTATAAGCAGATAAGCGTGTCCGAGTCTCTTGTTTCCATCCTAGACCCACAAGAACATCGTCTGCGGCGACAAAAAGTCAGATCTTTATTCTCGTCAAAAGCTGCAGATTCGATGGCACCAGGTATTCTCGCAGTCGCTCAGGAAGCGGCCAACGTCATGATTAAGCGTGGAGAAGAGAAAAGACCTATTGACATGCATCGACTCTGTCGCTCCATTTCTGTTAGTCACTGCTATTATAGTTCAATATCATTTTCCCCCTCTTCTCACACGAATCATCATGCTAAGTTTTGAGTAACAGTCGGAAGTAATATTTAAAATGGCTTTTGACGAACCTCAACATCTTTTAAACTCACAGGAAGAGCATCCGGAATTATTGGCAAGCATGGATGCCTTCTTCAACAATTTTTGGATATGTAAGATTTCTCACCCACTTCTCTGCCTGCTCACGTTCAGTCGATGTCTCTCTTGGGACATATTCTCTAACCTTGATTTTGTCGTCTCAGTGAAAACATTCCCCGCCGTTGCGTGGTTGGCAACAAACCTACCTGATTCGCTAGCCCAGAAGACAGTTCCCGGATTTAAAAGTATTAGAGATGTGAATACACTCCATTTTCTTTTTCATGCCTTTACTTTCTATACAGCGTTCTTCATTTCTATTCATGCTCATCATGTTTTTTCTTAGAAATGCGCAAAATGGGCCACAAGGGCTGTTGCACGACAGAATTCACGCGAAATCACCAAAAATGACTCGTCATCAAATACCGTCTTCGATCTTCTTCTCGCTTCAACTCCCGAGGAACCGCGTTCCGAATTTTCCATACCAGACTTGGTAGACGAGGCGTTCTTATTCGTACTTGCAGGGACTGACACTACAGGAGCTACAATTGCAAATGCTTTATACTATATTCTCTCTTCATCATCCGTTTCTTCTAAATTGCTAGACGAACTAACTGCTCACGGTATTACATCGCACGAAACTTTTGATTGCAGCCTAGTTCAAAGATTACCATATCTGGTAAGTAATTCGTTCGCATCTGCGCGACAATACATCAGATGAGAATTTTGATGCAGGAGTTTTGCTAAAATATTGAAACAGACGGCAGTTGTCAAGGAAAGTATGCGTGTTCATACTTTGGTGCCAGGTTATCTTCCGCGTATTGTACCCGATGGGGGAGTAGTTGTAGATGGACATTTCATACCAGCAGGTGTACGTATACACTTTTCCTAATAGCCAGAGTGGAAAGACTATTAACACGCTCGAAAAACGTATAGACAACCATCTCGCAAACCCTTTTATCACTTCATCATAACGCGTCTATCTTTCCTTCGCCCGAGAAATTCGACCCCGAACGATGGGTTAGGGACGAAGAGAAAGTATTAGAAAAGTATTTCGCTCCATTTAGCAAAGGTTCAAGAAATTGTCTTGGCATGAAGTAAGTCACTTTTCTCTTCCAGAATGACGAAGTCGATCAGGTTGCTAACTGAGTGTTCAGTCTTGCGATTGAAGAAATACATATAGCAATTGCGCTTTTCATTTCCCGGTTCGAATTAGAGCTTTATGAGACAGACGCTAGAAGTATGGAGTGGGTAGATCGTGCAAATGCGGTTAATAGATCGACCGTTAAGGTGCTTGTTAAGCGTGATAGATGGGCCGATAATTAGTGATATGCTTGAAGTGGCTGAACTTCTTCGATGAAGAAGTCAGGCTGGAAACAATTTAAGAACAGCAAAAGCATATCAGCTCTGCTAGTATATACTTCGTACACTCAGTATGGTCAAATTGAAGAATCAAACTAAAAGAATTTGTAGTCAGGTTTGCCGTGAATTCGCTGCGTAGTTGATCTTGATTGAATTCTTAATGATTTTTAGGAAAGCTGCAGTTGAGTTTAATCCATCCGCAACAAATAGAATATTGTGAATCAAAAATAAAGTATTTTCTGAATATATCCTGTGCAGCACTAGATATTTCTTTGGACAGAACGAATCCATGCGGGCGATCATTGGCAATGTGATCAGGCTGAGCCTCAATAAGGCTCTCGATACCAATAGCGAAGTAAATTCCCGACGACCACTCTTCCACAACCAACGCTGCAATGACAGATGCATACTCATGGCTAAACCCACCAGCGTGTCCATATCGCATGATATCAGCAAAGTGATTACAACAGTGATGATCCATATAACTCAGGAAAGTGGCTTCCTCTGCCCGGTACGAAGAAGGAGTGGAAGAACAATTTGGTAGTCGATGATGGATGCTGGGATCAGTTCAAATTTGACGGCGTCACAGACTGTTGTTTGGAGCATAATTGAACCTTTGTGTTCGACTTTCTTTACCCGGACGTGATGTGAATAAGCTTGATGCGGAATGGATATCACTTTAGCGTCAGGTAATGACCTCTGCGTGAAATCCGAAGCGGAGCAATCGGCGAGATTTGCAATTTGGTAAACATCCAATTGCTGTGCAACTGGGCAGTTATCATAGGCCAGAGAGTAGTAGCGTCACAAGTCATGGCGGTGTTTGTGAGCTGCCATACACAGGTCCCGACAATGCTGATATCCCATATGTAACTAGCATAAGGGTATCTCTTTCGCTTATCGGAAGGTTTATGCCTCATTCAAAGGGTCCAACGAGAGATGATCTCTTACAAACCTTTAGACTAGATGGCTTGAGGAAGGAACTCCCTCCAGTTCATCCATAACTTCTGCCGCCTCTTGGCAAGAGCTTCAAAATGTGGCTTGCTTTTTTGACTTTCTGTTCAATATTACCGTGTGAACTCAGCAAACTGAGGTACACTTTCATGGAAATGAAATTATATATAGAGAGATGACTCGCTTAGTATACCTGGTGGAGTATGTTCTTCAATTAAAGTAAAGCGGACCTCGAAATGAGGCGGTTTGATGCAAGAACTACCCTACTAAATGCTTCTCTTCATAGTTGAGATGACTGTCACTAATATATCTCAGTTCGAGGTGTATATCTTCAACATTTATCAAGTGTGAATCTGGGAGGTGCCAAATTATCCGCAGTTGGAAATCTATCTGACCAATCGCAAATATGTTTTCAGAACAAAAAAGATGATATAAAGTCATGGATTATGGTTTGGATCTACAAGAAACTATTCCCAAATCCCATTCTCAAGCCGAAGAATTTTAAAGTAAAGAATTTTCATAGCGTGATTACTATCATTATGCTAAGTAGTAATGAATAACCATCCATTTAATTCCATGCGTCCACCAACCACCATCTACCCAAGATCGGCCCATTGTATACATCTGTGTAAAATGACACGTTGTATTAAAGTATCCATGGTTCACGTCCACGCGAACAATTTCCACTATATCCCAAATCCTCAAGTGTTCAATTAACCTTCTTATCATATCCTCTAGCTCGTAGCATCAAAACTAACGGGGGTACTGGCTTGTCCTGCAGCCGCAGTATCCAACTTAATGTTGTTGGCCAACTTTGTCTGTTCGGGCGCGGGATCTCCAGACTTTCCTTGAGCTACCTTGATTTTAAGAGCAAGGACTTCGGCGGTGAGTTTGAGAACCTTGTTCTTGATTTTGCCGTTCTAGAGTTTATGTTAGTTGCTGTTATGTACTGTAATTATATGACGGAAAATGGATGGGAAAATATACCTGAAGAGCAGTAGCAGCATCACCATCAGCGGCCGCAATGGCTGGGTTGAATCCATCAACTTCAGCATCCTCAGCAGCATCATGAACCCCTTGAATGATCTTAAGATCAGATGCGGAAACAGCAGCGAGATTGTTCATATCGATACCGGTAAAGAGTGCATTGGCTTCATCTTGAGCGGATCCGGCAGTTCCCGCGGAGATTTGGAAATCATTGTATGCCGAAGAGGTCAAAACACTTCCGGCTGCAGCCGTTGAAGTTGAGCTGGATGCTGCCGATGTGGCTGCGGCAGTTGAGGAAGCGGCGGCTGTGGCCGATGCAATTGCGGAGGATGCCGCTGCTGTGGCCGATGAAATTGCGGAGGAGGATGCCGCGGCGGCCTTTTCCTTCTTGGGAAGAGGAGAGGCGTTAACGACAGAGAGGAAGAGGACAAGAGCTGGGAGTGAGAAACGCATTTTGATTGGATTGATTGGTTGATTGGGGTTTATAAAGGATGGATAGTTGAAGTAAGTGGTGAGTGAAAGAAACTCGTAATATAAATTTTGTAATATAGAATGAATGTATTAACAGTTCAATGGACAGCACAGCTGTTGTAGAAAGTATTGGAATGAATGTGTGTAGTGAAGGTGAAGAAGATGATGCTAATAATGAAATAGAAATGTAATGAGGAATTATCCGGTGATCTTATAGTTCTTGATGCCGTCGCTTTTTTTGCTTACTCTTCCTGATCTCAAAGGTTATTTTGACAGGCACAATACATCTGATCTCCTAGGATATGACATCAATCCCTACGATAAAGGCGTCTATGTACAGAATAGCGGGAAATGAGACGCCCAGTACATCTGAAGTAACATATCTTGCCAGGATCAATTGATCAAATCTGACATCTTCAAACTCGTCCGAAGAGCACTTGTCACTCATCAGATAAGATCTCAAGCCACTAGGCCAACAAAGAGCAAGAATTAAACCTTAAAGTAACATGAATTGGGATGCTATAGGTGGAATTTTGAAAAGGCATTGAAAATAGATCCGTCCCATCTAACTTATTAACGGTTACTAACATACCGAGTTTCATACTTGAGATGGCACTCTGGACTTAGGACGAAGGGGCTATTTTTGATGTTCTTGGCGGTGGTCGAGCGTTTGGGCCTGCCTGATGACAATCGATTTGAGCTGTTTCAGACTGAGAAATCGAAGGATTTCGAAACTCATAAGGTTACTTCAGGTATGGTTGCCTTATATTCTTGCTTCATCATGAATACAACCTAGAGAGTTGGTGTTTTGAAGGTTGGAATTAGCTTCGCATGATAATCTAGGATGTGAGTTCCCTTGGATTGAGCTGAAATTTCCCTCTTCAAATCACTGACATGGTTACAGTTTTCCCGCCTTGAACCTTTTAAGTCGTGTCTATCCCACATGATAATCGTGTATATTCAGACCAGCATACACTTAGTAATGTTGGATCGTATATGCACCCAAAGGACGACGTCGAATATTTATCTTTGACATGGAAGAATTGCAAGAAGATTTGAGATTTTTGGTGAACGCTTAAGATGAAGGGGCGTGGCTGATTCGGCAAATCAAAAGGTGGTGTGGCTGTGATCCACGTGACACTTCTCTCTCTCTGATCTCTCGAAATTCAATTCCATACACATTCATTTTTGTCTTTACCACTTGAATCAAAACAGCTAGAATCACAAACGAGAAAGTGTTCATATCACAGATATTATGAATTCTAGACTGAAGAGTCGTCGATCCCTTTGTTTGACTTGTGGAGATTACTTCAACGAATCCTCGAGCAGTCCCCTTAGGTGCGTTAAATGGGCTCCGTCGCTTAACATGGGCGTATCAACCAATCAGATCATCAGAATTCCTTGATTTAATCTAATTTTCAAACTTAATCTTTAATATAAAAATCAATCAATATCATTTTTTTATTGAAATTTCGAATATAATAATATATACTGATTTTTAATCTTTAGAATTTTTTTAAATTTAAATTTTTTTAAAATAAAAATCAAGATTCTATATTATAAATAGTATAATTGAAAAACTATTAAAATAACTATTTTATTCAATAAGGCTTTATTATTCAAGGTATATCACACAGACTACCTTCGGAGCCCATTTAACGCACCTAAGGGGATATCGGTGTAGCAATGAGTCGAATGATTATGAACAGATGTATCGTGTCACTCCTTTGACATTTCGACCAGGAATGGGACCTCCATCATCATCTTCGCCATCCTCTCGTTGAGACAAAGCTTTCGCTTTTTCTTCGGTTTACCCCGATCATATTCCTCACGAATTTCTCTCTTTACTAGAACGGTAGGATAGGCCTTTATTCTAATTTTGACTTCGACCATGGACTTTAATGCGCTAAGACGTCGAACTCGGAGCGATATTAGATTTGAATGATCGCAGCGAGATCTGACTCTATTCCCTGGGTATCACAAGATCTCGAATCTGTACATCGGCCGAGGAAAGAAAAGTCGTTTGAAAGGAAGATCTGTTATTAACTTACCCGGTGTTCTTCCCAATTATGGTCCGTTCAAGGACAAAACACTATCACAAGTGGTCGGGCGAGTACAAGATGGGACTTTTCGAAGGTTTGATAGTGATCGGGCTATTTCGTGAATGACATATTTCATGATGAAAAGATATTCTTTTCCAGACACATGAGTTACTTTGTTACTAAATTTTGTGCAATGCGTTGCTTATGAAATAGCCAACACATTTAATTTGCTCGAATTTCCATGATGAACACCGATAGAGGTAGTGGTGTCTTGTCTTCTCGTGGGATTTGGGTGAGATAAATTACAGAAAAGTTGGAACCTAACGTGCGTAGAATCGAGAATATTCGCTCAGCGAGAGAACTGACTCCTCACAGGGCAGGACGTCAAATGTTTCAAAAATCAGCCATGCATGGCTGGAAAATTCCGTCACCAACCCATGGATAAAGTCGTGTGTATGACCTATACGAAATGTATCTTGAAGCGTCACTCTTCTGGATGACTGACATTTCCCTAACTCTTTGTCAAGTTTGTCGAGCAGTGCATCGATCAGATCAATGTTGGATCACCTCCGATCCGTGGACTTCTCCGCGACAATACCATGTCGAAGCAGGGCTGCTGGGATCTATTTCCCTAGGATTTTTCCCCCAACCCGTGAACACTGCTGATAAGCAGTCTATAAACGACGACAGACAAGAAGGGAGAGTAGAAGAAACGAACATTGTCAGGCTACCTGAAGATCGAGACTACGACCTCGTATGGAAGATCTGTGATCTGACCATGGCCAATTCTGCTCTCTGACCCTATAGGTATTCAATTTGAAGGAATAAGTATACACGAATACATATTGTGCAGTTCAGACGTCGAACACGCTGGGTAACTTACCTGAGGGGCGTTAGCACTGCTTGAGTAAGCCCTGGAGCATTTAACCTTTATTTCTTTATGCCAGGGACAACTTGGTTGAAGTTCCAATATCAAGGGCTGAAAATTATCATCACACCCAAATTTTTGGAGTATGATGAATCCTAATATGGCCTCACAATTGCCTATTTAGTAAATTTCCCTGCCCTACGCGAAAAATGTCCTGAATTCGTGAGAATCACCCTCATGCATATCGCTTTGGTCCTTACCGGTATTAGATCCTGTTAGAGTATCAGAATTATCTCGGCAGTTGTTCAGAACCCGGAACCTGATGTTATCTGCATCTAATTTGCGATCAAGAACTCGCTCCATTTAGTAGTCATAGATATCGTCAATTCCAACGCGAAAATAACGAATACTTTTGACCTCAGATAAGATTAATTTTCCGGAAACAGTCTTCCGCTAACACACACTTGGCATTCGCTATACTCTCCACTTCCTTGATGCAAATCTTTCTTCCTTGCACAAGATTAGAAAAGCTTTTCTGAAGCCAAGAGCCAAGATCTGGGGATCGTTGGAAAGTTGCTTTTTCATCTGGAACATCTGCCAATCCCACTCCGCCTAGATAAGCAAGAATTCGACAAGCTCCAACGGCGGAGGGTGGACGTAAACTATAACGGATATAGCACACTCTCCTTAACTCCTTAATTCGGGACCGAACCCTCGAAGTTCTGGTACAAAAAGTTCATTTTACATTCTTAACTCCGCCAAACGTCGGGACCGAATACTCAAAATTTCTAACTCCGGGCGTGATTCAAGCCAATAATGTAGTTGCAAGCAAACTTCCAATCCATAGCCAATTGTACAGATACATCGGACACCGAAATCACTACACCTCATCAGAAGAAAAACTGACAAGGAAAAACGTCCCAAATTGAAGAACTTATTGGGAACTCATCCACGGTGAATTAAACATCGGCACAGGATAAGCAGCGAAGTCCGATAGAAGCGCCCTTTTGAATGTCACTGACATAATAACTGGAGAAAAATGTGCTTATCTACCAATCAAACCCTCATTCCTTCAAAAACAAAAGAGATCTAGAATCTATGACGAGGGTCCACCATAATTCCATTTCTGAGGAGGATTCAGAGTGGAACTCCGCATTATTCTACCATCGGAGTAGTTTTGATGGCGGGTCGAATCGTGCTAACGACTAATAAATTGGTTGGTCTATTGCTATGTCTAACTAGCTAATGATTAGTCTATTAATGTTTGCAGATTGTTTACGAAGTATATAGTAATGATTGATGTGTCCTGCTTTCCATTTACGTCGTTTGACTCTGCAGGCACTGGATGGCGAAATAATCATAATCAATATACAACAACAGAATTCCCCTATTCTCGTCTCTTCTTTTACAACGCTTGATACATAGAAGTTTGACGAGAGTTAATATCAGATCATCGAATTGGCTAAGAGATTGGACGACACCAATAGAAGTTTACAAAAGTATCCGAGGACTTGGTTGGATACATAACATAGTACACGCACGACAGCGCCAAAATGGCAGGTGCTACTTCAACCGAGACGAATGCTGTTGATCGAACAGTTAATAAAGCACAAGAAATACCTACACAATCCCCTACCCATCAAGCCTCACCCGATTCCCGCGCATCGACCGTCGCAACTCCAGAAGATAGCGAAAAGGAAGTCATTGACTCCGAAAATCATACCTCAAATCAAAGTAGCGACGATGTTACCACCACTCCCAATGCTGCGGCTCCTCCTGGGCCCTCTCCCCAAGATCCAGAGGCTTCGCGCACGAAATTGCAAACGACTATTATCATGCTGTCACTCTGCGCATCGGTTTTCCTCGCCGCTCTCGATGTCTCGATTATTACCACTGCTCTCCCTACTATCTCCGAACATTTCCATTCAAACGCTGGATACACTTGGATCGGTTCCGCCTATTTATTGGCGAATGCGGCTTCTACACCTTCCTGGGGTAAATTTTCAGATATATGGGGACGGAAACCAATTTTATTAATAGCGGCTGGAGTATTCTTCATTGGGAGTTTATTGGCAGCAACGAGTGTCAGTATTGGGATGTTGATTGTGGCGCGAGCAATCCAGGGAATTGGCGGTGGAGGATTGATTATTTTGGTCAATATCTGCATTAGCGATTTGTTCAGCATGAGGAAGAGAGGTGCATACTTTGGATTAATTGGAATGACTTGGGCTTTTGCTAGTGCGATTGGTCCTCTGTTGGGAGGTGTATTTACCCAGAAAGTTAGTTGGAGATGGTGTTTTTATATTAATGTGAGTTTTGACACTGAATTTCAATGTTCTCCTGTGGTGGATTTTTCAAGGAATTCGAACACTAACTGGAAATGAACAGTTACCGATTACGGGAACAGTCGCAATCGCACTTTTCTTTTACCTCCATCTCGACAATCCAAAAACACCCGTTTGGGATGGATTAAAAGCCGTAGATTGGTTCGGAAGTTTACTAATTATCGGTGGTACACTTATGGTCCTCCTTGGCCTGGAATTCGGAGGTGTCACGAAACCATGGGACTCAGCTACGGTCATCTGTCTGATCATCTTCGGAATCGTTGTTGCCGGTCTTTTCGTGCTCAACGAATGGAAATTCGCGCGATATCCAGTTATGCCTCTTCGACTCTTCAAACATGCATCTAATGTCGCGGCTTTGGGCGTCTGTTTCTGTCATGGATTCGTCTTCATTTCAGCTTCTTACTATCTCCCGCTCTATTTCCAAGCTGTTCTTGGCGCTACCCCTCTACTTTCCGGTGTCTATTTACTACCATTCGCTCTCTCTCTATCTTTGACATCCGCGATAACTGGTGTGTTCATCAAGAAAACAGGCAAATACCTCCCACCCATTTATTTCGGTCTCGTGGTCATGACACTCGGATTCGGTCTATTCATCAATCTTCCTCGCAAGGCTACTTGGTCTAAAATCATCATTTACCAAATCGTCGCCGGTATTGGTGTAGGACCTAACTTCCAATCTCCACTTATCGCTCTACAAACCTTGGTCAAGAAAGCAGATATCGCGACCGCAACCGCCACATTTGGATTTACTAGAAATCTAAGCACAAGTATCAGTGTGGTGGTTGGAAGTGTAGTGTTTCAAAATGAAATGGAGAAACGGAGTGCGGAATTAGTTAAAGCGCTGGGAAGCAGTGTGGCATCGGAATTGAGTGGTGGAAGTGCGGGTGCCAGTGTGGACATTGTCAAAGGTTTACCAGCTCCCGGAAGAGAAGTTGCGAGGGATGCTTATTGGGGAAGTTTGAGGATTATGGTGAGTTATCTTTCGGGAGCCCTTCAACGAGAGGCTCCTATCGAGTAATGATAAATGCTAACTGCAATATAGTGGATCATATACGTAGCATTCGCAGCCCTGGGTTTGGCAATTAGTTTTGCTATTGGTCAACATGTGCTCAGTAAAGAACACGAGACCACGAAAGTGGGATTGGTAGAACAGGAGAAATTAAGACTCGAAGCTAAGCAGGCGAAGAAAGCGACAGATGTAGAGGCTGGAGTGCCGGTTGTACATGCAAATGGAGAGGGAGAGAAAGCTCTTTCTTGAGAAAACTGCAGGACAGAGATTCTTTTTTATGGGAAAGGTCGTTTATTGCATGGCGTGCGTGGACCTTGGCCTGCATTCTAGAGTTGGAATTTGCATTTTAGACTAAGGTTCGGATGATACCCATACGATATTGATGACGGAAATATGCGCTTTGGGACGGGTTGAATAATTGGGCATTTATGATTAATGGAAACGTATTATATACATATACTGTTAGAATTTTGTACATAATTATACATAGTCTCAACTATAGAGTCTTTCTCTTCGATTGATTGCATATCATTCTATGATCAACGCGCTCGCTCCAATTTTATGCAATATTTCTATAATCTTTGAAAGTCTATACCTGATAGACGATTGTATTAAAAATACCTAGAAACTAGTAACTCATCTAATAATAATAATAGTAATAATAATACAAGAATCTTCGTTTTGAATACAAATAAAACGAAAAGCAATTGAACTGGCAGCCCAATCCGGGTATCCTATCCTATCATAACCGTACCATAAAATCATTTCGCTTCAACTCCTCGCACAATTGAATTATACCTTTCCTCCCGAAACCCTTCCTCTCTCATCATCATCATCGAAATAGCTCCCTGACTTTTCATCCCCCTTTTGCATATCCGGTCTCAACTCACCACCTTTCTTCCCGCTCTGTCTCGAAAGTAAGCCCTCCATGCCCACCACTCCCCCCGCTAACCCCATTGGCCCTAAGAGGATGCCTCCCAGCACAATCCACACCACGATCGGCAATGCCTGCACGGCGCAGAAACTATAATTCGCCAGATCGACAAATCCGGAAAAGAGCACCAATACCGCGACGATCATGGTTGTAGCGAAGCTGAATTTGTAGAGGGTTTTCAGGCCGGGATTTTTGCGCTGGATGGCCGAGGCGGATGTGGCAAAGGTGAGGAATGTAGGGACGAGGAGGATCAGACCGATGATTCCGTGGGCGGAGAGCGATGCGGATGAAGAGCCTTTGATGACGAAACCGAGGATGACGGTGAGGATGATGAGGATGGGGGAGAGGATGTAGAGGAGGGCGGGGATGAAGGTGGTGAAGAGGGGCGATTTGAAGGCGGGGAATGGAGAGGGCAGCGAGGAGAGGGTGGTTACGCGCTTGGTGCTGTGTATTAAAATGTATGTTGGTGCGAGGATGAAGTATGTGAGGATTGCGAAAATGACTGAGAGGGGGTTAGTTTGGCTGTTTCTAAGATGATACTTGAAGTGGGGGAAAAATAACTTACTATGCAAAACAATCGATATGATTGCTCTCGTTATTGGCATACCATTAATTTGGATGTCCATTTTGGCGAGATTAATGG